GTTTCGTGCGCCATGCAAATTGCGACGATGGCCTTGCACAGAAGAGTGAGCTCAGGCTGGCGAGAGCCGCCTTTGCGCAGAATGAAGAAGACGCCTTGGTTGTCTACTCGCATGAGTACGCGGCGACCTTGGATCTGGTCCTTGAACGTCTGCAGTGCCCATAGCACTCCCTCGAGCTCTCGGCGTGTGCTCGATGTGGAGAGAAGTTCTTTTGGCATGGGGCTGCTTCCTTGCGAGCTTCCGTTGGGGAAGGATGAAAGGGTTGCACCCCAACTGTGTGCGCTAGCGTCGACGTGAATGACCGTGTCCAGACTGTGGGGCATGTGAAAAGGAGCCCCGTTAAAATGGTCGAAGTGGTCAAACCAAAATTGTAGCTCGTCGCGAACTTCCGAGGTCAGGGTCACTCGTGCATTCCATGATGGCGCCTCATTAATGAGTGTCAAAAGTTGATGGCTGAAAGAGCGCGCCGTCGCACCAAGGGCGAGCGCCATGGATGCAAGGATGCCGGTGACGCGGGCGACGAGGCGGATTGATACCCGCTGGTTGCGCTCGTAGGCGAGAAGCAGCACATGTAGTGCTTGTGTGAGTTGCGCCTTTCTCTCCTGGCCGATAGTGAACCTTCCGGATGCGGTGTCCAGCTCCATTCCGAGGAAGTGCAATTTTTGAGTCGCGATCAGGTGCGACTTTTTTGCGTTGATGACGAGCCCCGACTCCTTGAGGTCTCGAATGACTGCACCACTTTTCAAACGAGCGTCCTGTTCCGAGTCGCAAAGGAACAATATATCGTCCACATAGGGTATGACCCGAATGCCTTGCGCTCGCCATTTCCGTGCCAACTGCTTGATCAACTGGGTGAACAGGAAGGGCGCTGTAGCGAGGCCGAACGGCAACGACTTGAAAACATAGTCGGTGCCTTCAAAGTGAAAACCTAGAAATGACCAGCAAGATGAGTGAATATCGACATGATGATAGCCAGACTTTAAGTCAACCGAGAACATCCAGTCGCCCGGCTTCGCCAGTTCAGCGACACGAAGAAGTCCTTCGTACTTGAATTTGGGGACAATTAGGTATTGATTGACCTTTCGCAAGTCGAGAATGAGGCGGCACTTGTTGCGTTGTTCCACAACGTTGAGTGGGCTGATGCATGTAACGGCCGATGAGCTAGATGCAACTGCTGCTGCTCCTGACGTGAGCAATTCCTGAATTGCCGATCGGGTGAAGTCGGTGTGCTTCAAGACTCCGGCGTGATTTTGCTCACGGAACGGCGGTGGTGAGAATGCCTTCCAAGGAAGCCAATATCCATTGACAATGACCGACAGGATCAAGGAGCTCTCGCACCAGGAAGCCCACCAAGCGAACGCCTGTCGGAGGCGACCACCCATGGTTGTGACATCACGATCGGTAACCGCATTTGCCAAGATCTCGTCCTGCTCCCCGGACCATGAAGGCGTTGTGGCTGCCATGGGGTGTTTCGTTGCGGGATGGCAGAGGTACAGGATCGAACCATGACGTTCAAATTACGTGAAATGTATCGGCGCGCACGTATGAGCAGGTCATTCACGCATAACGACATGCACCTCGTGGTTTTGATAAGGGTAATGAGGTTGCGAGTGCACGTGAGTGAGGTGCGGCTAAGAATCTGTTGGATACAACATGTATCACCCCTCTTTGTGGGTGTCAAAGTGAGAACCGTTCAAGCGAGGGTCCATGCGCGTTGCGCGCGCGCTTCTCTTTCTTCTTCTTCTCTCTCTCTCCTCTCTCTCTCTCTCTCATTTCCTCTCTCTCTCTCTCTCTCTCTCTCTCTCTCTCTCTCTCTCTCTCTCTCTCTCTCTCTCTCTCTCTCTCTCTCTCTTCTCGCAAGGCATGTCAGCTGGATGGCTTGGTAACAACCGGCACTATTGGCCACGGGAACTCACTATGCCTTGCCATGCGAAGCGTTGTGACTTTCTCATGCTATTGAGTTGGTCGTTGCCTTCCCATACCCTTCTCCCTCTCTCTCTCTCTCTTTTTTTTGGTGACATAACTTGTCATAGGCTGGATCTCCAAGGCCAAGACCTGAGCAACATTCCATTATAATTAGAAATACAACTTCATAGCCACCCGGGCTTTGCGTAAAAACGCACACACACGCATACACACGTACACAAACAGCCTAGGGCACTCCATGCCTCTAGCTTTTGGCTAAGCAGCCACTACCAAGGACCCCTGGTCCACACCCGGCCCAGCCCACACCCCACCCTCCATCAAAGGCAGCCAAGGTATGAGAACCTTGGGTGCGGGGAGATGGGAGGGCGAGGTTGCTTGGGGCTTCTCTCACACCACCGGTGCGGGCCCATTGCCCCCATGGCCTCCATGGGGGCATGCGCTAGCCATGTGGCCATTCTGGCCGCAGCGAAAACAGGTTCCCTTGAAGCCCCGACAGCCGTTGCCGCTGCCCATGGTCTTTGGCACGAAGTGGGGGGAGTCGCGGTGAAACGGACGGCTCCCGCGGGCGAAGCCGGTCTTCATACGCTTGAGGGCTGCCATATCCGCCACCGCCATCTTGAAGGAGCGTGAGGTGAGCACCGCCGTAGTCTTGAGGAGCTGGTAGCGCTCAGCCACGTCGAACCCGGCATGGTCGGCGACGACCAAGACGTCGAAGCGGCGCTTGATGAGGTCTTGAGCTTGACCGACGGTTTTAAGAGCACCGGCGGCGTCGCCTCCGCGGATCTTGTGTTCCACGTGTGCCAGGTAGGTCTGAAGCACCTCGAACACCTCCGCCTGGTCACGGACGCCTTTGCGGTTGAAGGCGGCGGCCGCGGTGGAAGGGTGAGGAGAGGGGAGAGGGGGGAGGAGATCATTAGGCACGAGGGGCATAGGATTGTTTGGTTCCTCACCCGCATCGCTGTCGGAGTCGGAATCAGCGTCGTCGGGTGCAGCGGGTTCATCTTCGACGGCTGGCGCCTTTCCCTTGTCGGCGCGGTGAGATGCGGCGACTCTTGCGGAAGTGGCGACGTTGTTGCGAATGTTTGCAGTTTTAGCGGAAGCGAAATTTTCCGCTTCTGTTGTAGCTGCTGGCGTTGTAACGGGGGCCGCGGCCTGCTTTTGGAGGAGCGCCAGCAGTGCCGCCACTTGTGAGGGCGAAAGATTCGCCGCCGCCCCTTCGGTTGCAGGCGAATTCGTCGCCCTCCGTTTTGGGGTGGCGCGCGATCCTCCCGCGTCAGCGCCAGTAATGACGACGAAGTCGTCATCATTGGCAACTGCAGGCCCATGAGCCTGCTCGTGGGACGCGCGTGGCCGGGGAGAGCGCGAGCGTGTGCCGCCGCCCTCGCCGAGCAGCACGTCCACCCCAGTGCTGGGGCCCTCGGCGTTTTCCTCGATGGGACGTTTTCGCTTCTCCGCGCCGGTTTCCCGGGTCGTTTTCTCAAGCCCCGAAGAAGGTCGAGGAGTTGCGTCCTTAGCTTTGGGGCTATTGTTGTTCGTCGGCACCATAGTCGAAAGGTTGCGGTCGAGGATGTCGGAGAGGAGCGTCGATGGAGAAGTGAAGCGAGGAAGGCTCTTAGTCCTCGCCAGCTTGTACGAAAAAAATCGAGAACTTGAAAACTGAAAGTTTGAAATGAAAAACGTGGGTGAAGGCCAAATGGCCTTCGCCCCCTCTTTTATACCGAAAAAGAGGGGAAGTAGCGGTTCGCCGAAGCATTTTGCTTCGGTACAAATATCTTCGCTATTCACAATACACAATTTTAGAAAGTGTTACACACTTTCAAAAATTTACATTTTTCATGAGCTGACTTGCAAACATAGGTTCTGACATTGTTTACTCAATTCGACATGAGCCTTGCAGCTGACCCGTACCGTACGGGCACAGACCAAGACTTCACATCAGTGAAGCAGTATATGCGAAATTATCGTGCACCCTGCACACGAACATGATGCATTTCACCAGATTAGGTTGCTAAGACGTGAACTGGAACCTACAATCGGCTCCAGATCTGAGTCTCCTAACGACATGTTTGAACAAAACCCTTTCCCAACCTAACTAAGTGAGAATGGTGGTGTTTCTTTGGTCATGCCTGTCCGCTGACTGAGGTTAGTGCAACCAAGGCAGCTAAGGCGGTTCGCGCCAGGATCATCTGCGAAAATAGTTTGCGAGAATGAGGCGGAGAGATACCGCGCGTCGTCGACAAATCACCGAAGGTCATCCTGGTAACCCCTGATTCGCCTGAGTTCTCTCTCCGCGTACAAAGCCCCCTTCGTGGATCCCCCGCCTCCCCCCATTTAGTACAGTGAAGCACTGAACAAGGGCTTTCATGTGCAAAACCTGCGGGTAAGCCTACGTGTATTGCCATACTCCAGGTGACAGGCCATGTTGCTCATCTCAGGTCGAAATTCTGTGGTGGTTGATGTTGGGGGCTTCAGCATCGCGGGCTGAAGGAAAATACACTAGCAAACCATTAGACATGCGTTGATGTGCTTGTGTTGATGGCAATAGCATCTTCAGCCCCACAAATTGGCTGCAACATCCAGCTTCATTTCTGGTAAAAAATACTTCAGTTTACCGCGTAAGCTGCCCGATTTGTTGTGTACGGAACTGTATCACTTGTGGAGTGTGCTGCAGTGACTGTCTCACAATCCCTGCTAGCCTTTTGCCCCGTCATCCAGCCTCCAGCTCTTCTTGCCTCGGCGAAGGGCAAACCGTCGTCGCAGCCTACGTCGCAACCAACCACACACTGCCACGCCTGAACCAGATCTAAAGTACATCTGGACTACGGGTCGGGCGACCGACCTTCCTCCCCGACCTGAGTGCCCCCCAAATTTTGAAGCAATGCAACCTTGCAGCGCAATGCATGCTACCCACACGCACAGATTTTGGTTGGCTTGAGCCGAGACGAGGTAAATGGGGCACATCCCCGCACGCATTTATGCTGCTCCAAGGCAACAAGTTTTTCTATTCAGCCCCTCAAGTCACACCACCCAGAAACCTCATTCACGGCTCAAATGCGCGTCGCGCGCGGCTGGTTATGCCTCCTTCGCCAATCAATATGGCGTCTTCAGAGCATCTGATACTACCCGACGACACTGACGATTTCCTCGGCGCTCCACACGCAGCACATGCTGCATTGCCGTTTAACGCGAAGCTCGACAGCGAGGACGGCGCCGTCGACGACGGCGACATTCACGCCGCAATCAACTCGTTTCTCGCCATTCCTAACAGCTTCTGGGACTCCTCGCTCCCGCCTTTTCTATCTGCAGAACCGTCGCCAACCAATGCAAACGCGGAGGCCGCGGGAGACGCGCTCCGAGGAGCGGCGGACGAAAGCGGAGGCAAGCGGCGCGACGATGCGGCTATCGCTTGTCAAACGCATGGTAGCATGGCCTCCCTTGGCAGCGCGAAAGATGCGAATGCGGCGACGATTAAGCAATTTTCGGACGACATAAAGCGCGAGGCCGCGGAACTGCTGCGACGGAACGGCGCCGACTCCGAGTCGCTCAGGCGTCGCGGCGCGCCCGAGCGCCCTTCGACGTGCGGCGGCGGCAACGCGAAGAAGCAGAAGCAGCAGCAGCAGCGGCACAACAAGACACAGCAAAACGCCAAGATCCTGTCGGCGCTGCTGACGGCACTCGCATCGCTCGACCAATCATACTCCTCCGACGGCTCTGCGGACGATGAATCCGCGCCCAACACGCCGTCCCCCAAACGGCGGAAGGCGACGGGCGGAAAGACCCCCCTGGCGGCCACCGCTGACGCGCACGTCGGGAGCTGCAAGCCCGCGGAGGCCCCTGCCGCGGGGACAGAGAGAAAGGCGTCTTCGTCCGAGGCTCCGCGTGTGAGTGCGCAGTCGGCGCGGAGTGGCGGTGCGAGCGGGGCCAGCGTGGCGGCGCATGGCAAGACGTCCGCGGGGGCGGGACGCGGAGCGAGAAGCAAGGTAGCATCGCTGCCAGGTCTCACCTGGCAAGGCGGAAAGCGAGTTCCCGTTCAAGGCTCGGCGCAACGCTCGGCGCAAGGCTCGGCGCAAGGCTTGGCGCAAGGCGCGACGTGCGTGGAGGAAGCACATGACGCGTTGAACCCCAAGGACGAGGTCCCGAACGCCCCAGGGAATCCACGACGAGTTGGCGTGGGCAGGAGCATTCTTGACACGTTTCTTGCGGATCTGCCCGAGATTGACGGGCATCTGGACGCTGTTATGTCCTCTCTGTGCTCAGAATCTGCTGCAACTGGATGCACGGGAGGTGGTTCAAAGGACAATGCTGCTTGCGCGGGTGTGGATGGGATGGAGTCTGCTTCAGTGGAGGCACCTCTCACCTCTCAGCCGTCCTCCCACCTCTCTCCGCCCCTGACTCCTGTGCTCAGCCACGCGCCAGGGCTGGCGCATGCGCACAAGAAGCCTTTGCCTGTTGATGAGGCGCGCAATAACGAGGATGAATGCGATGATGAGGACGACAGGCTGAGCACCAGCAGCATTGACAGCGAGGATGCAGCGGCTGCTGCAGCGGCGGCAACGGCACTGGCCATGCGGACGCGGACCAGAGCAGAGGAGGAGAATCATTCGCCTGAAACAAAATCAGGTGCACCGTATCTGGACAATGTGGGTCAGATGAAGCGCGGGGCAGGGCAGCGACCTCCTCCTCTGACGCTACCTGGTGCTCTTGCACCTGTTTGTGATGGCTCCCCGTCATCTCTCGGCAGTCCGTTTAACCAAATAAGAGCGAGCGCGAGCACACCAGGTAACGGGGATTCGCCATGTGGCATGCCTCTTGGGATTGGGACACCTTTCCTCTCTCCGAGGTATGGTGCGGTGGGGGGAAATGATGTGGACGACTGGATGCCGCGCAGCCGCGGGCGCAAGGACCGGCAGGTGGCGGGCGGGCGCATCAAGGCGCGGAGCATGGCGGAGAGGCAGAGGCGGGAGAGGATCAGCGAAGGGCTGCAGAAGCTGCGGATGGCTGTGCGCGGGCACGGGGACACGGCCACCATGCTTGATAATGCTGTCGCGTACGTGCAGGCGCTGCAGAGGCGAGTGACAACGCTCGAAACGAACATGTTGCTGCACCAGGCATCTTGCAAGATGAAGGAAGATGGAATTGACGTTGCCAATGATCGAGAGGGATCGAACCTGGAATAAAGTTGATCTCTAAGGGCTTTGGGAATAAGAGATGAGAATAAGTGCTGGTTTGTTTGTTGTAATTTACATATATAGCTGCACTGTCTAATTGAGTGCTAAGGTTTGGGAACATGAATGCTAATCCAACTCTATTCAACCAGTGTTTGTTTCGACCCTCGAGATTTGTGCGTCGTTCTCGCCCTGTGCCCAATCTCAAGGTAAGCAGGGCGGACAGATGAAATTCCATCGTGCTTGACGGGGGACATCGGGCTCCGTGTATTGCCAGCCTGACCGTGACACGCTCTAGTCTATCTTAGCCTGTCAAACATACTGTATTAGCGCGTCTCTTTATTATGATACTTCATGATCTATTTCTGAGCCTAGAGTGAACTCAGTCTAGAGTAAATGCCTATTACCGTACCAAGAATGTAAAGATGTTCGTTAGACTTCTCGTATCAGGCTCCCTGATCATCCCAGAGCCCAGATTTGAGAGGTGATTCAATGTCAGCTCTTCCCACGGTTCCCAACATCGCTCGTCCACCTGCGGCTTCTAATGCTGTTCCCAATGCCTCCGCCCGTCTCCCATCCGCTGCGGCTCCGCCATGCACTGCGCCTCCGCCATCCGCCGCGACTCCGCCACCCGCTGCGACTCCGCCACCCGCCGCGACTCCGCCACCCGCCGCGACTCCGCCACCCGCCGCGAATCCACCGTCTAAGGCGACTCCTCCGGGAGCCACCGTGATCGACCTCACTCGCACGTCGTCGTCGCGCCTCGTCGCACGCGTGTCGCACCTGCACACGATGCTGCGACGAGCTGTCGCATGGCAGACGACGCAACAGCAGGTTCTGCTTCGGAAGCAAAGCCAGCAGGATCAGACTGCAGCGACAGATGCGACAGATGCGACAGCAGCAGCAGCAGCAGCAGCTGCGGCGACGGCGCTATGGAAGACGCCAGGAGGTCGAGAGGCCGCAAGCACTCTGAGCAAGACGCTGCTGGACGTGTCCAGGTGAATTTGACGGGTTGGTAGGGTTCACTCGGGTAAGCGACAGGTAGAGAAATAGCTATGTTCCCACCCATCCCTCACATACAATTCTCTTACTTGTTCATACCATCTGCTCCCTCCATGCCCCTGAGCGTGGCACTGGCGACAGAGCAGCGGGGTTGGTCATTCAACCCCGCCCCTGGGACCCTCCATTCCGCCTCTCCCTGCGTCACGTCCGTGTGTCTCCCCGTCTGCTCCCCTTTGGCTGCCTCCAGGTCCCTAGGCGTGGCACTGGCGACGGAGCAGCGGCCGGCAACAGAGCAGAGGCTGAGAGCCCTCCCTTGCAATCCTCCGCCTCTCACTGCAACCGTGTGCTCCCCCTGCGCCGCTTTTGCTCCCGCCAGGACCCTGGATGTGGCACTGGCAATGGAGCAGCGACCGGAGGGCAAGGAGGGCGACCTGATCGAAGCTGTGAAGATGGTGAGTCGCTGCTGTGAAGATGGTGAGTCGCTGCTGTGAAGATGGTGAGTCGCTGCTTGTGCACTCGCTGCTATGCATTGTGATGATGCATTGCGATGATGCATTGTGATGATGCATTGTGATGATGCAGTGCGTCACTGCTCGTGCCATGCATGTTGGTCAACCTTGTTACACATAATCTCTCCACGAGCACTGCCATGCATGCCTATGATTGAACACCACGCCACACTGCAACCAATACGTGAATGTCACTAACTGCCACTATTGCCATCATGGCTCATCAGCATCGCACCCCTCCCTTCCTCCACTCCACTGCAGGCCTGTCTCCTCAACTCTGTGCCTGCTCTTCGCCCTGCTGTCACCGTCATGCTCCTATCTGTCAAGGTAACCCCTCCTGTCTCTCCTGTCCTTTCTGTCCCTCCTGTCTCTCCCGTCCTTCCTGTCCCTTCTGTCTCTCTGTTGCTCGCATTCTCTTCCACTCTCCACAACCTCGCAACCATCCACCAACGCTCAGCCTTCTCATCACCTCCCCACCCATTCCGTTCTCAACAGCGTTTCCCTCCCCCATCACCCCGTCTCTCCTCTTCATCTGCCATCCCCACCCCATGCGTGCCAGGCAGCAGTAGTGGCTGGGTGGTTCTCAAAAGACCAGCAGACAAGCTTTCAAAGTTTATGTGATAATGTGAGTCTGCATGGAGTGTTTTTTTAGAATTCTCAAAAAACATAAGCTTTCAAAGTTTATGTGGTAATGTGAGTCTGCATGGAGTGTGATTATGTGAGTCTGCTGAGTCATGTTTGAGAATTCTTTGGAGAAACCCTCAAGAATTCGCAGCAGCAGCAGCAGCAGCAGCAGCAGCAGCAGCAGCAGCAGCAGCAGCAGCAGCAGCAGCTGGATGGCTCTCACCCGACCACCAGGCTGAGGTTTCCAGGTTTCTGTGATAATGTGAATTTTGCATTGAGTATGATAATGTGAGTTCAGAGTTCCTAGGCCTTGCCCACTCACTCGTTCGAACCGTCCGTCAATGGCTAGGCCGCTGCAGTACACAGAGTACTCGTTATAGCCTTGTGAGGCGCATCAAAAGTCGTTCGATCTGTATGGCAATGGCTCTGCAGTACACAGAGTATTATACTCGCTATAGTCTGCGAGCCTGTGATTCATTTGTGTGTGTGTACATCCCAAACCCTAACCTGCAGGCACTGGGAGAGGGGTTTTTCTTCCTCTTTCAATATATTTCTCTTCTCACATCTAGCCGATGCCATTTGTGTGCTCTTTCCATTGCTTTCTCTTCATTCGCTCTGAGCTTTCTCGCACTGAGGCGCCTCAACATTGGCCTACCGCATTTTGTCTTTCCTCGCATTTGTGTCCCCTCTCCTCGCATTTGCCCCTCTCCCCAGGCTCTGAGGCCTTTCTCCTCCTCTCTTGCCGCTCGCCCCGCCTCTCTCTCCGATTGGCTGGACGAAGCTCCAGGTCAGCCCCATGCTGACGTGGCTGCTGAGGAGCAAAGGGCGCTTGGCAGGGAGGTAGACCTGGGGGAGGTGATGCATGACGCGGCAGGGTGGATTGAGGAGGACGCGAGGGAGAATGGGGAGAGATGGGGAAGGGGAAGGCAAAGGGAGACGCCAGGGAATGTACAGGAGAGGGAACGGGGTGGTGGGGGCAGGGGAATTGAGGGGATAGGAAGAGAAGGAGAAGGTAGAGCAGGGGGAGATTCTGGTGCGGCAGAGGGTGTTGGTGGTGGGAGGGAGAGTGGGAGGGAGAGTGGGAGGGGGATTGCAAGTGCAGGTGGTGCCCTGCCGCTCTCCACTGACCTTCTGCTGGAGCTCGTTGTCAAGCGGTGCGTGCACTGAGTTTGCATGTACCTGCCTTGTACCTTCGTACCTACCATACCTGCCCTACCTAGTACCTCCCTGCCCTTACCCTGTGTGTACCTTGCTGACTTTAATGCGAAGGACCGTTCGAGAGAGAGAGAGAGAGAGTGCGTATTTGTGTATGTGCGTGCTTGTGTGTGTGTTTGTGTGTTCTGTGCATGCATGAGTGTGCGTGCGTATGTGTCATGTGTGTGCATATGTGTGTATGCGTGTTGCATGTGTGAGTGCCTGCAGATTCCTCCCTACAATGAAGATAGTTGAAGTCTGCACAGCACTCACAGTACAGGTGAGTGCCTCTAACTAACTTGGAAAGTTGCGTTTGATAACTTCACTTTCACCCCTTCTTTCTGTCCCGCTCTTTCCCCTCCTATTCCCCGCTCTATCCCACCTTAACCATCCAATGCATGCCTGTCTCCCCATTTTTAACCACCCAACTTTCCGTGCTCTCTTTCGCGACTTTCTCATATCACCTCCTCCACCCCCTAACCCCGCCCACGCCCTCACACACAACTCCCTCTTGCCCTACCCACTGTATCCCCTTAACCCCCAAACGCATGCCTGTCTCCTGCTCTCCCTTCCAACCCCTCCCTTCCCACTCCCCGCCCCCACCGCCATCACCAGCCAGTCTTCCATACTCTCACCCACGACTTCCTGGTCTCACACCGTCCAAAGCCCGAATGCATGCCTGTCTCCCCCTCTCCCTCCTACCCACTCCCCCCACCCACGCCCCCACGTCAGCCAGGCTTCCACACTCTCACCCACGACTTCCTGGTCTCACACCATCCAAAGCCGCAGCAGAAACTGGTCAGATTCAATGCACCTTTCTGCTCATCTCGGGATCCCTAAGTCAAAGGCAAAGTGCGGTCTAGCAGACAAAGTGCTTTGTGCTCACTCAAACACGCATGCATGCAAGCACGCGCATGCATCCTTCCATCCCTCTCATCCCTCCCGTCGTACCCATCCATCCATCGCACCTACCCACTCTCCCACCCACCCTCTCATCATCGCAGCGCTTCTTCTCTATCCGAGCAGACTTTGTCAACTCTGCCGCTACCCTCGTCTCGCCGCCTCAAGCCAGGTCAGTGGCCCTTACTACATGTCAGCCTGTGCCATCCTGTGCCAGCCTGTGCCATGCCATCCTGTGCCATCCTGTGCCAGCCTGTGCCATCCTGTGCCAGCCTGTGCCAGCCTGTGCCGTCCTGTGCCAGCCTGTGCCATCCTGTGCCAGCCTGTGCCATCCTGTGCCAGCCTGTGCCAGCCTGTGCCGTCCTGTGCCAGCCTGTGCCGTCCTGTGCCAGCCTGTGCCAGCCTGTGCCGTCCTGTGCCAGCCTGTGCCGTCCTGTGCCAGCCTGTGTCAGCCTGTGCCGTCCTGTGACACGTTGCCAGCATGTGCAACACTATCCCTTTGTTCCACCACTTAGTCGGTTCACTATTTTGATTGAGCCTCATCATGCCTTGTCACTCTTATCCACTCTTGCACTATGTATTGTGATGTGATGCATGATCGCATGATCCATGATGGCATGATGGATGATGGTGATATGCATGCATGCATGGTGTGATGCCTGTTTACATGAGGGAATTCTCGTGCTGAATTCTGACATTCTGGACGGCATTGTGATGGCATGGCATGGCATGGCGTTGTGAGCAGTATATTGCTGAACGCCAAGGAGGTGCCCAACAGAACAGCCATCGATCAGGTGATGTGACGGCAGCCGGAATTGAACCCTCAATCACACATCCAGCACCCCCACCCACCACATTCCCAGCAGCTAATCCACTTGCTCGTCTCTTTTCACCTCACATCGTCGCCTTCTGTCCGCTTCTGCAACACCTGCCTTTTCCATCACATTACATCACATCACCATCATCATTCTGAGGCGTGTTGTCACGCCTCTCTTTCTCCCCGCCCCTCCCCCATGCCCCTTTCCCTGTGCCTCTCTTGCTACCTTTCAATATCTGTGGCGCACACAGGACTGCTACCCCTTCATCTCAACCACTCCCAACCACTCTCAACCACTCCCAACCCAGCCTCTTTTGCCTTATTTTACCTACTGACTGGCCTCTCTGCAACCTCCATGTGCAGGACCGCTCTCCATTGGTACCATCTGACGTCATCAAGCTTCTGAGGCTCGGGGTGAACATCTTGAACCTCATGGGCCGCCTCTCAGGTAAGCATGGCTTCTAATGCTCGGTTTATCTTGACCAATTCTTTTGAATTGCTGCAACGGAGTGTACATGCCGTGCTCGTTTTCCTCCCCCACCCCTTCCCTCTCATCCCTTGCCCATTCCCTCTCCTCCCCCACCCCTTCCCTCTCCTCCCGCTCTTTTCTGCCATTGCCTCCGCTCACTGTCCTTCTCCCTCTACACACCCTCCCATCTCATTCCTCCCCTCTCCTCTCTCCCCGCCTCTCTCTCCCCTCCTCCCCCCCCAGTGCCCTACATTTTTGTGGTGGCTGTGATGGCACCCGCCCCTCTGCCCCCACCCTCCTTGCTCAAGCCCCACCCATCACAACTGAAACCAATTCCTCCCCACCCCACTCAACCGCCCCATACCGCTCAATCCACTGCAACCTGCCTCGCACAAGCTGCCACTGCGAGCACCCTTTCTACCCTCTCGTCCACTAACCCCTCTGGAGAGATCTCAAACGGTTTGCCAGCCGAGGGGCAGGGAAGCGGTGGGAGAGAGCAAGGAGAGCAGCACGGGCAGCAGCAGGGGCAGCAGCAGGGGCAGCAGGAGGAGGAGTTGCTGGAGGGACCAGTCCGCGTGTCGCTCTTGTGCCCAATCAGGTGATGCCATGTAACCAATCAGGTGATCCATGGGTCCAATCAGGTAATGCCATGTGTCCAATCAGGTGGTGCCAGGTGGTTCCAGGTGTTGCCATGTGTTCCATCCAGTTTTGTGATATACTTTTCCATCCGGTGTTATGAATGGCGCAGGGGTTAAGTTCTTGGGTAAATCACGTGCGACCTGACCTTGCTTAACTCTTCCCATCCCAACCACTCCCATCTCAACCGCTCCCATCCCAACCACTCCCACCCCAACATCCGTTGCCTTGCGTGACCCACCGCCTCCCCTCCTGGCAACCTGCAGCTGGTCCCGAATGAAAGTGCCGGTGAGGGATCGAGCGTGCTCCCACCCGCAGGTGAGATCCCTGCCCTGTGCTATCCGCTGGACTTGCACCTTTCATTGCAGCTTGCGAGTCGACTCAAAAGCATCCTCCTTCCAGCAGTTGTGACATGCAATGTGATCACGAGCAGGGCATGCAATGCACGCAGGGGTGCGTGTAACATGACACTATGTGATAATGCACCCCCTTTCCCAGTCCTGTGTCTGTCTCCCACTCTTTATCTGAAATGTTTTTCCATCCAGCAGTTGTGACTAATTCGAGTTTTATGCATTTCTCCTTCATCCCCTCTATACAGTGCTGCGACTACAGCAGTGTGATGGCAATCAACGAGCGCAAGCCCATGTGGAAATGCCCTACATGCGGTGCTGACATCAGCGCCACGTCACTCTGTATCGACACTCGTATGGTGCAGGTAAATGCTCTCTTCGCATAACACATTGACAATCGTATGGCTTTTAGTGTCAGTGCATGTGTGGGCATCAACACGTGCCGTGCTATCGCACATCACAGGCAGCACCAACCACACTAATATGCTGCTCTTCCGACATAGCTCCTCACAGCCTCCCATCACAGCCTCCACGCCCCTCCACAAACATATCTCTCCTCCCCTCCCCCCCCAACCAGGTGCTATCAGAGACAACAGGTAGCACCGATCAAGCCGATGTGCTGCTCTTCCCGGATGGTTCCTGGCAGCTTCTACCCGAGGGTGCAGGCTTCTCGCCCTCCCCGGCCTCCCCTCCCTCCAAGCGACGCCGCCTCGATGCTGCTCTGCCTGCTGCTGTACCTGCTGCTGTGCCTGCTGCTGCTGGTGTGCTCCCATCACCCGCTGCTGCTGCTACAGTGCCGTTAGGTGCTGCCACGGCGCCTTCATGTGCTGCTACAGCCCCCTCGCCTGCTGTGACAGTGCCATCAGCTGCTGCAGCAGCACCTTCGGCTACAGTCCCTCCGGCTGCTTCAATCCATCCCGCTGCTGCTACAGTGTCAATGGTTGTAGCAGCAAGGGAAGTGGAGGGAGTACGGGCTGTGGAGGGCCGAGGAAAAGGGGTTATCGACCTGACCGATGCTGCTGATGATGCTCTGGCTGAGGGTACCTGTGAGGCTGGTGGTGATGTGAAGCCATGGGTGGGTATGGGACAAGGTCAGGCACCTCATGTGGGAGAGGCAGCAGGCAGGGAAGCTTACCGCGTTCTACCTGCACTCCCACCCCAGATGCACCCTCGTGCGCCTGGGCCTGCTCCTGCTGTCATTCATGGCCCTCCCCTTGCTGCTCAGCCACCTGCTGGCATTGTAGCAGTGGCTGAAGGGACTGTAGCAGCAACCCACAGTGTGCTTCCCGCCCCCCCACACCAGATGCAACCTCAAGTACCTAGACCTGCTGCTGCTGCCGCCGTCCAAGCCGCTGTCGTTGCTGCTCCCACTAACGCCCCTGCTCTCTCTCCTGCTGCCCCTCTTATTGCCGCTCCTGCTCTTCCTCCTGTTGCCCCTGTTTCCACCCTTGGCCCTGCACCTGGCAACCCAATCGCCCCTTCCCCAGCTTCTGCTCCATGTGCCTCATATTCTCCTCGTGTGACCGCCAACACTGCCATTCATTCACTAAGGATCCCTGCACACCCTTCTGCTGCCACACCCCCTGCTGCTGCTACCACACTTCCTGCTGTTACCACCGGCCCTGCTGCTGCTGCTACCGCACCTGCCCAGCCTGCTGCTGCACCAGTTACCGGGCCTGCATCTGTGCGTTTGCAACAATCACGCACCCATGCACCTTTTGAGTCAACTCAAAACATCACTGACTCCTCAACTACCAGACCTGCATCTGTGCCCTTGCAGCAAGCGCGCACCCATGCACCTTCCCATCAGGGCCGTCCTGCTGTGCCCAGCCATCCCCTGGCCTCTCCTGTTGCAGCCAGTGGTACAGCCCCTTTTGCTACAGCCGCTCCTGCTACAGCCACTCCTGCTACAGCCACTCCTGCTACAGCCGCTCCTGCTTCGGCCACACCTGCTGCGCCCACACCTGTTTCAGCCACTCCTGCCACAGCCATTCCTGCTTCTGCCACTGATGCTACAGCCACTCCTGCTTCAGCCACCCTTGGTGCGCCCACAACTACTGTGGGGCCCATCCAGCCATTGTCGCACCAGCTGTCAGCACGCCAGTTGTCGATCAGAGGCACCGCTGAGCTGGCATCTCTGGGCAGGTCGCTTGCTGCTGTGGCAGCCTCAGCATTGGGGGGTGAGCGAGTAGGGCATGAGGGCTCCGGGGAGTGTGTGAGAGAGGGGAGTGGAATCGGTGATGTGAGTGGCCCAGCAGAACAGGAGAGAAATATTACTGGACGACTGAGACAATCTACGCAAGCTAACCTGGAAAGTTCTACAAGGGGTGGTGGTGGTGTACAAGGCTCAGATGTTGGTGAAGTGCCATCACAACCGGACTTCGATTTGTTTGATGAACTATTTGGTACTGAACAAGGCTTCTATTTCTGATTCTTTCAGAACTGCTGGTTGATATTAGGCGTGTATGTAATGACGGGGATTGATCTCTTAACGCGTTACCACCATCGAGGGTGGGGTTATACGTAGCCAATCACACTTCAGGGTTTTGTCTCGAAGAATCGTTGAAATCCGTTCGTTCCGTGCAGCTGCCACAACAGCATGGACGTTGGATTGCTCCCGTCGCGTCGCTAGCATGTCATCAGCGTTTGCGGCCACGCCGCTCCCCGCGCCTGCTGACATGGCCACTGGGGCCTTCCAACTTTCCCCGACCGCGTGTGACTTAGGGAACCCCGAGTTTGTCACGCAAGCCTGGCACGGATTGTGGGGCACGGCTTTGCAGGGGCAGTGTGGCTCCTCCATTTTCACCTGCCCTGAAGTTTCGCGGTTCGACACAAGACAGGAGTTTTTGCTGGTTTTTGACTGGCAGATCAGCAGGTTCGAGAATCGAGAAACTGCTTTTCCCCCAGTTGCCCAAAGCTGCGAAATAGGTATGGCACTCCGCAAATTGCCCGCGCCAGTCCCCTGAGATCCCTCCCCCCTCCCTCCCCCCACCAGCGTCACGTCATGTACAGATCATGTCACATGCACCCGCCACCACTTTCTCCCCGACCTGGACTCGAACGAAACCAAGGGCTCGCGGTTGCGTTGCGCGCGCCCCCATTATCGGCAATATCTACAAGCGAATCAGGACGGGTCTCTGGACATGGTTCATCCAGTCCGCGTCGCTGGCGGGGCAATAATGCTGTTCCGCTGGGATTTCCGCATGCCACGCTAGCCCCTCCGCCAATTACCGTGCCCAGCCACGACAACCCCCCTCATCATGTGGAACGGAACAGAAGCTGGTGCAGAAAGGAAGTCCTCCTATGGGGGGAGAGGGGAGTGGGAGGGAGGGAGAGAGCAGCAGTTGTGCGTGTTTGCCGTGTCAAGGAAAGACAGAAACCCAGGGCAAGTGGACGCGACAGGAGAGAAGATGTATGTAGGGACGAGAGGAGGAGCAATAAGGCGTATGTTGATAAGTTTCTAAGGTCAAGTATTGGTAGGGCTGCTCTTGAAATTCTGACTACGAGCGCACATACACGATGGCAAGGATTTATGAGCTCCTTAGCAGATAGTCGGATGGTGTTAGTGCTTCAAGGTTCCTAAAATTGTGTAGCTAAGGATCAGTTTCCACTAGTATCCGCAAATGGCTTCAGTTTCGCCCTCAGAATTGCACCTTGCAGTGCTTTCAGGCGACTTAAAGTTGACAAGGAAACTCCTTCGCGACGGATGGGACTCGGCGGGACGCGACGATTTCGGTCGCACGCCGCTCCAGTGGGCCGTGATTCTCGGCCACGAAGACATCACAAAGGCTTTAATTGTCAACACACCGCTTCGTTTCCTCCACTCCTCAGACCGCCATGGCCGCAACGTGCTGCACTACGCCGCCGCGCAAGGCCGCGCAGAGCTCCTTCGCGTGCTGATTCAACGCGGCGGAAACGTCAATTCTCGGGATTGCCTCCAGAAGACCCCTTTGCACTTCGCTGCTGCAGCCGTCGATCCGGGTGTAGCGGAGATTTTGCTGAATAAAGGCGCAGATCCTTCCGCCTTGGACGCGAGTGGATTAACTCCGTTGGACTACGCCGTTAGATACGGCAGCGTGGCTTGCGAGAAGCTGCTCCGGAGCACTACGAAGAGTAATAAGGATTCCGACGGAGCGGAGGCAAAGAGAACCGCATCTACGGAGCGTAGCGCGCGATACCCCATGGCCTCTCTGGACACGAATGTCCCTCTCTCCTCGGCAACTCGTCCAATAAAGTCTTCAGAACCACCACGCAATCCGACAGACACGGTGCCTTCGTCTTCGTCTTCGTCTTCTTGTCGCTCCGCCTCCTCAATTCCGTCCGCCTCCGCGATTCCCTCCACCCCCTCCACGAATAAAGCCGCGCCGGCAGCATCGGCGTTGGAGTCGCTGCTTGACGCCTGGAAGTCGTCGTGCGAAAGGTCTCGCCTTGGCGAGTCCCAGGCGACTGTTGCGACTTCTGCAAATAAAGCGACAGGCGATCTCTCGTCGCCGTCGAGAATGAACGTCAGCACGCCAGAGGCTATCGCTGCACCCGTGCGTGAGCTGTGCACGGCGGGTGATCCGCGCTCGCCCGCCATGGAGTGGACGCCGTGCGGCATTGTCGGCGCGTGCAACGGGTCGTGCAGTCAGCTGACCGGACCGTGCGGCTTGGCCGGACAGGTGGGCTGGCAGGCAACGGAAAAAGTCAGCCGCGCGGTTTGCTGCTAAGCGCAATTCACGCACCGAATAAGTTCTCCCCCGACGCAGCAAAGGGAATAATCGTGGCGGCGCATAGGTGGACGGTCAGATTGTTGATATAGTCGCTCTACGTTCACTGACTGAACGCCTCGTAGTCGTTGCCAATCGCCTGTTCTTCCGTTTGGGTACTGCTGAAGAACTCTACGGCCTTACACTCTTCCGTTACAGTTGCTGCTGTTGAACTGTACGACATACTGTTCTTTTGTTTTAGCACTTCCTCCAGTGCGTCACGGGACTCTTCTCGTCACAGGACTCTTCTGAAGAGCTGAAGAGAGGTACCCGTACCTATGACCTGTGCTGTGCGGTATGAATGTGGACACTAGGTTAAAGCCCGCGGCCCAAATTGCGGGCCGCGCGGGTCAAGCTTTTAAAACTTGAATAACTTGTGTTTGCAAGCTTTGAAAAAAAACGAGCCTGCAATTTGGGACTTTCGGAACTCAACCAACCCCCCAGGGCGAAATACGAGGGGGGGCTAGGTTTGACGAAAAAATCGAAATAAACGAAATCCGTTTTTTTTCGCAAATACCAAGACCACAAAACCCCATCGCGTCAACCTTTTAAAGGTTGTGCAATTTGGGCTGCCGGCTTTAAGAAGCAGAGCACCAATGAAAGATGTGTATTGTATTATTCCTCTTGTTTCCTTCTCTCATCAATTTTTTAGTATCCAGCAGTGGTACTGTCATCTTTTCAATAGCAATGCATGAGCCAGTAGAATGGACGGTAGAAGCAAGAGATGGTCTCATTTTGCCTTGAGATAAGCATGTTTGACAATGGAGCACACTCACAGTAGAAATCTGCATTCCTTGATTCTATGAATGTAGTAAGGTGGTAATAGCTTTATTTTTCTAGGTTCACCATACTCATCTTTTCTTGTAGCTCTCTCATCGCTCTGGTTGAAGTCGCACGGGCTTTTCGCTACCGCTGCCTCGTTTTCCTTCCCGCCACCAAGGATTCGCTCTCCAGCCAAAAGTATACGCTTTACAAAGAATGTTCTGGTTAGCTTCTTGCAGCTAATGACGGACCTTTTCATTCCGCCATGGTCGCACGTGTGCCACGTGCTTCAGTCTCTCCAGCAGCGTCGCGCGCACAGCGTCGTCACCGTCGACGACGACAGCGGTGCGACGCTAACCGGGTCGCAATTGGTCGCAGACGTCGCATACCTGGCCGGAGGGTTGGAGACACTCTGCGGCGTCGCGCCGCGGGAGCGCGTGTGCATCGCGGCGCTTAATAGGTACCGTGGCATAACATGGTATGATAGCATACTTAAAGCGACGTACTTTTCCGTAGCAAGTGGTTTGTGAAAGAATCTGCAAACTCGTAACGTAGCGATCTAGCAGTGGGAGATCGGCTGCCATTTACGTCCAGTTTCCGGTCAACTGAGTAGCGGGAGCAGCAGTGCGTGCTTTTGCGATCGACACTATTGAACTGACATGCGCAAATCATTCCATTTCTGATATCGAATGTGCTTCTATCGAGCACAACCCCCCATGCAGCTCGGCGTACTTGCAGTGGCTGCAGGCAGTGCCTACTGTCGGCGCCATCGCCACAGTGTGCTCCATGCTTCAACCGGTCATGCTCTGATTATTCCACTTCTTGAGTGAAATGTGCTTCAATTGAACCAACACCTTCCTCCCCTCTTCCCCCCCTTCTCGGCAGCTCGGCGTACGTGCAGTGGCTAATGGCAGTGCCAGCTGTCGGCGCCATCCTCGCGCCTCTCAACCATTAATGGGTCAGTGCCAGTCCCTCTCTCCATCCACTCAGCTCGCACCACTCCCCCCTGCCGCATTTTCATCTGCAGGCATATTCTAGTCGATACAGTAGTCATCTATCCCACCCTATACCTCAACGCCCTTTCCCTCTCCCCCCTTCCCTTGCCATTCTACTGCCACGCGTGCAGAGCATAGGGGAAGCAGCAGCAGCGGTCTATGCTGGGTAGAGCGTCACAATAAAGAGAGCCGATAGTCCGTCGATCAGAGATCAGCGATCAGCAATCAGAGATCAGCGATCAGAGATCAGAGATCAGCGATCAGCGATCAGCGATCAGCGATCGACGCTCGACGGTCAGCATCATTCCTGCTGATGCAGCTCGGGAGCATCATCAATTTCATCTATGTGTGGAATGACGCTTGGCTCAACAACGACATAATGTAAGCACCTTACCTTCATTGGTAGCATGTGCTGGCACACACGTCGGTACTCTCATTTGAGGTGGCGATAGTGGGAGCAGCAGTGGTCCTGATGATTCAGTTTGTGAGCATCATCAACTTCGTCTATGTGTGGAATGACGCTTGGCTCAAAAATGACAAGATGTGAGAACAATGACTCTTCACTGACTTCTCAGCCGCTCCAAATGCTTTGATGCTGGTGATTTTTTGCTCATCATGTGTCATGTGGATGTGCAGATATGCATAGAAGACTATATGCATGCATACATGTGTATGTCGATGTAAACATGTACGTACATCACCCACTCATGCGCATACCCGGCCTGGTAACAACCACTCGTGCGGTACTCGTGCGGTCGTGTGTACTCCTGTTGGGGCTCCGCATCACCCACTCACCAGGCTCCTGCCCCTCAGTCCCTCCCTCAGTTCCTCCCTCAGTCCCTCCCTCAGTTCCTCCCTCAGTCCCTCCCTCAGTTCCTCCCTCAGTCCCTCCCTCAGTCCCTCCCTCAGTTCCTCCCTCAGTTCCTCCCTCAGTCCCTCCCTCAGTCCCTCCCTCAGTTCCTCCCTCAGTTCCTCCCTCAGTTCCTCCCTCAGTTCCTCCCTCAGTTCCTCCCTCAGTTCCTCCCTCAGTTCCTCCCTCAGTTCCTCCCTCAGTTCCTCCCTCAGTTCCTCCCTCAGTTCCTCCCTCAGTTCCTCCCTCAGTTCCTCCCTCAGTCCCTCCCTCAGTTCCTCCCTCAGTCCCTCCCTCAGTTCCTCCCTCAGTCCCTCCCTCAGTCCCTCCCTCAGTTCCTCCCTCAGTTCCTCCCTCAGTCCCTCCCTCAGTCCCTCCCTCAGTTCCTCCCTCAGTTCCTCCCTCAGTTCCTCCCTCAGTTCCTCCCTCAGTTCCTCCCTCAGTTCCTCCCTCAGTTCCTCCCTCAGTTCCTCCCTCAGTTCCTCCCTCAGTTCCTCCCTCAGTTCCTCCCTCAGTTCCTCCCTCAGTTCCTCCCTCAGTCCCTCCCTCAGTTCCTCCCTCAGTTCCTCCCTCAGTTCCTCCCTCAGTCCCTCCCTCAGTTCCTCCCTCAGTTCCTCCCTCAGTTCCTCCCTCAGTTCCTCCCTCAGTTCCTCCCTCAGTTCCTCCCTCAGTTCCTCCCTCAGTTCCTCCCTCAGTTCCTCCCTCAGTTCCTCCCTCAGTCCCTCCCTCAGTTCCTCCCTCAGTTCCTCCCTCAGTTCCTCCCTCAGTTCCTCCCTCAGTTCCTCCCTCAGTTCCTCCCTCAGTTCCTCCCTCAGTTCCTCCCTCAGTTCCTCCCTCAGTCCCTCCCTCAGTCCCTCCCTCAGTTCCTCCCTCAGTCCCTCCCTCAGTTCCTCCCTCAGTTCCTCCCTCAGTTCCTCCCTCAGTTCCTCCCTCAGTTCCTCCCTCAGTTCCTCCCTCAGTCCCTCCCTCAGTCCCTCCCTCAGTTCCTCCCTCAGTCCCTCCCTCAGTCCCTCCCTCAGTTCCTCCCATCTCGCTCATGGAGCCATGACGAGCTGACCATGGCAGCGTGGCGTATTTCATCAACGCTCAGGCCATGAGGTGACCCACCCACACAGAGGCGAGTTTTGAGTCAGCTTGACAGTCACTTGTGGAGGTGCTGGCTTACATTATGGTGAGGCGGCTGAGGCTACCCAGAGTGGCAGGGATGCTGCCCTCCAGGGCGTTTTCCCGCGCATAGCTGGTGGGGCCATGGGTGGGGAGGGGAAACGAGGGAATAGTGGGGGGTTGAGTCATGCACGAGTAGGGTTGAGTTGAATGCTGGGTAATGAGTGCTGTGTCCTGCTCATTGCATAGTGTGTGGAAAGTGGGGAGAGTGTTCCGAAATTCGTGTTGTATATAAGCAAGTCAAAGTTTACTGCGTGTGGGCTTACTGCTGCTACGCGGATGGAGGACGGCACATGCAAACGAAAACATGGCACGCGGGCACATGGGCGCATGGGCGCATGGGCGCATGGCATGGAGCATGGGCACATGCAGGAGGAGCAAGCAGAGGGGGGAATTACAGGTACTCGAGGTTGGTGAGGGTACCGAACTGTGAGGGGAACGACCCTGTGAAGTTGTTGCGCCCTACCTCCCTGCTCATGCACGAATGGGGGGATGTGCAGGGCGAGGCAGGGTAATATTGAGACTTCTTCAAAAGATAAAGATACTGTGAGGGGAACGAACCTTTGAAGTGATTGTGCTGGTTGCGGCCCAATGGGTGCATGGGTGCATGCGCCCCAACCAGCACAATCATATCCATCACAAAGACCGAATGGGTGCATGGGTGCATAGGTGCACGGGCGCATGCATGTGAGCGTGCATGGGTGTATGCGTGGTTGCATGAATGCGTGCATGCGTGCATGCATGCGGGCATGGGTGAATGAATGGCATACAGCACGGTGAGGGCCTTGAGCCCATAGATGGAAGTGGGAATGGCCCCCGAGAACGAGTTGTTGTACAGGCTCCTGCCAGAGGGAAACACACAGATAAAGGAGAACAGGGACGCAAAAGTAAGAAACAAGGCCGGGCACGAGTTGGGGCTCCGCACGAGTTGTTGGGGCGAGGCTAGGTATGCGCATACAACAACTCGTGCAGCACAACAACTCGTACTGCACCAACAACTCGTAGGTTGGGGCGAGTTGTTGGGTACCTAGGCTGTGGGTGAGTTGGGGCCGAGTTGTTGTTGCAGTTGTTGTGTGTCTTGCCTGGTGCTACATAGCCCGATGCTGCATACCTAGGTCAATCACGTGATGCAAAATAGCTGTAAGAATTTTGACTGTAAGTCACCTGGTAACCTCCTATCCGACTTGCATGCATCTGCATCTCTATGTGTCTCTTTACAGGTGGATGCAGGGCCGCTCACCACAGGCGTCATGGCGGTGTATTTTGTCTTCCTCTGCTGGTCGGCAATCATGAGTGAGCCGCCCGTTGAGGCATGCAACACTCGGCCTCGCCAGACCGCATACAGCTGGTGGCTTGATATTCTGGTGAGAACGCCCCAACTTGTATTGTCTACCGCTGTTGTACGCTTCTTATTCGTGCTTCATCGAATGACGTGCATACATCCAACCCCCAGCCAAGCATCTTTCCCAACCCACAAACTGGTACTTGTCCTTCATTCTTTGTTCCCTTCACCATCCCTTTTGTTCCTGTGGTTATCTGCTTTGGTTATCTGTGGACGCTCATTGCTCCCTTTGGTTAAGGGGTAGAAAGTTAAAATGATTGCTTGCAGTCATGCATGGTGGATGCAGTCACAATCTTTCACGCTTCAGCATACTGTCACCGTGTTGGTAGTTGGTAGGGACTACAATGAGTCTCTGTTGGTGATGCCTCAGCAGCACACAGCATTGCCAGGAGTAGCATCACAAGCAGCAATGTCCCATGACAGGGAATTGTGTCTCTCATGCATGTTAATGATTGGCTTGCATGAATTGATCTGAATGTCTGTATTATCTCAGTGTGCATGCATGAATAATTCTCTTTCATCAGCTCTGCTGCGGCCTACACTACTCTTGTGCATGCTACCACGGTCCCTTTTATAGTTTCAATTCAAATGTCCATGGGACGTATTTGTTTGATCCATAACCTAAGCAGATGTATCAATATTCAGGCAATTATCTAAATCTACAATCATTAATGCAATAATAAAGCGCGCCACGGTCTTCTCTTGGGTCTTGTGGGCCCCTCTTGGCCACTAGGGGGGTTAACCCCTAGTGTTCACCCACACACCACGTTGAGGTGGGGACCCTTCGTGTGGGACCTGCATGGGGACCACGGGGGGTTAGTAGCAAGCAAGCAAGCAAGCACGGCAACAAGCAAGGGAACAAACAACAACGAAGCAGCAAAGAAAAACGAGCAGCAAGCAAGGAAACAAACAACGAACCAGCAAAGAAAAGCAAGCAACAAACAAGGAAACAGCAAACAAAAACAAGCACGGAAAGCGCGGCGACTTACCGTACAACACCCACCACCACGACGACCGTTGCTGGCGTGCCGTGCAGTCCACCTCCGCAGCCCCGCAGTGACACGAGCAGAGGGCTTCCAGCGTCCCAAAAGCGCTCCTCGCTCAAACCAGGCAGAGCCTGGCCCAGGTGGAGGCGTGGTGAGGCTCATCCGACTTCAGGCAGCGTCCCGCCATCCATCATCAGAGCACCCACACACAGGGGCGCTTAGGACGTTAAGGGGGCCAGCCCTAACGCCCTTAGCAGCCCCTGCCGCACACCACCTGATGCCACAGTTGGGGGCCTTCAGCACTCCCCACGCATGTTGAGCATATCAACTTGACGGGAGGGGGGGGAGAGGAGGGGAGGGGAGGGGAGGAGAGGGGGGGGTGAGGGGGTCTTCAGTCTTCAGTCTTCGATCTTCTTCCTGTAAAAAGACAGGAAAGATGAAACAGCAGTGAGTTTTCTGAGGCTATAAAGCAAGCAGTTGGGGAGAAATGCAAGGCGATAAAGCAGGGCGTGAAAATCAGCTTACCAGAGAAGGGTAGAACCGACTGCTCTTCCTAGCCCTCCTCTTCTCCTCTGGACGGGACAAACAGAACAAGGGAACCAGAATCAGGGCAAGCCGTTACAAGGCAAACAGATTTCAAAAAAGAGAGTCAAGGCAGGAAGATACGCAAACCGAGCTCAAGGGAAATGGAAGTATGGCAAGCGAAGAGGGTTACCAGAGAAGAGAAGAGACGAGTGCTTCTGTTCCGCCGCTCCTCCGCTCCTCCTCGCCCTCCTCTTCTCCTCTGGACAAACCAGGCAAAGAGAACGGGACAAACAGAACAAGGGAACCAGAATCAGGTCAAGCCGTTTCAAGGCAAACAGAATTTAGAAAAGAGAGTCAAAGCAGGAAGATGCGCAACAGAGCTCACGGAAAAAGAAGAATGGCAAGCGAAGACGGTTACTTACCAGAGAAGAGAAGAGACGCGTGCTTCTGTTCTGTCGCTCCTCCGCTCCTCCTCGCCCTCCTCTTCTCCTCTGGACAAACCAGGCAAAGAGAACGGGACAAACAGAACAAGGGAAACGGAATCAGGTCAAGCAGTTTCAAGGCAAACAGATTTCAGAAAAGAGAGTCAAGGCAGGAAGATACGCAAACCGAGCTCAAGGGAAATGGAAGTATGGCAAGTGAAGAAGGATAGTTACCAGAGAAGAGAAGAGATGGGTGCTTCTGTTCTGTCGCTCCTCCGCTCCTCCTCGCCCTCCTCTTCTCCTCTGGACAAACCAGGCAAAGAGAACGGGACAAACAGAACAAGGAAATCAGAATCAGGTCAAGCCGTTTCAAGGCAGGAAGATAGGCAAACCGAGCTCACGGAAACAAAGGTATGGCAGGCGAAGAGGGTTACCAGGGAAGAGAAGAGACGCGTGCTTCTGTTCCGTAGCTCCTCCGCTCCTCCTCGCCCTCCTCTTCTCCTCTGGACAAACCAGGCAAAGAGAACGGGACAAACAGAACAAGGGAACCAGAATCAGGTCAAGCCGTTTCAAGGCAAACAGATTTCAGAAATGAGAGTCAAGGCAGGAAGATACGCAAACCGAGCTCAAGGGAAATGGAAGCATGGCAGAGGGTTACCAGAGAAGAGAAGAGACGAGTGCTTCTGTTCCGCCGCTCCTCCGCTCCTCCTCGCCCTCCTCTTCTCCTCTGGACAAACCAGGCAAAGAGAACGGGACAAACAGAACAAGGGAAACGGAATCAGGGCAAACCGTTTCAAGGCAAACAGATTTCAGAAAAGAGAGTCAAGACAAGAAGATACGCAAACTGAGCTCAAGGGAAATGGAAGCATGGCAAGCGAAGAGGGTTACCAGAGAAGAGAAGAGACGAGTGCTTCTGTTCCGCCGCTCCTCCGCTCCTCCTCGCCCTCCTCTTCTCCTCTGGACAAACCAGGCAAAGAGAACAGGACAGACAGAACAAGGGAACCAGAATCAGGTCAAGCCGTTTCAAGGCAAACAGATTTCAGAAATGAGAGTCAAGGCAGGAAGATACGCAAACCGAGCTCAAGGGAAATGGAAGCATGGCAAGCGAAGAGGGTTACCAGAGAAGAGAAGAGACGAGTGCTTCTGTTCCGCCGCTCCTCCACTCCTTCTCGCCCTCCTCTTCTCCTATGGACAAACCAGGCAAAAAGAACGGGACAGGCAGAACAAGGGAACCAGAATCAGGTCAAGCCGTTTCAAGGCAAACAGAATTTAGAAAAGAGAGTCAAGGCAGGATGATAAGCAAACCGAGCTCAAGGGAAATGGAAGCATGGCAAGCGAAGAGGGTTACCAGAGAAGAGAAGAGACGAGTGCTTCTGTTCCGCCGCTCCTCCGCTCCTCCTCGCCCTCCTCTTCTCCTCTGGACAAACAAGGGAAAGAGAACGGGACGGACAGAACAAGGGAAACAGAATCAGGGCAAGCCATCTAAGGGAAAACAGAATTCAGAAAAGAGAGACAAGGCAGGAAGATACGCAAACCGAGCTAACGGAAACAGAAATATCGAGAGCGAGAGGGTTACCAGAGAAGAGAAGAACCGTTTTCTTCTGGTTTGCCGCTCCTCCTCTCCTCCTCGCCCTCCTCTTCTCCTCTGGACAAACCAGGCAAAGAGAACGGGACAAACAGAACAAGGGAAACAGAATCAGGGCAAGCCATCTAAGGGCAAACAGAATTCAGAAAAGAGAGACAAGCAGGAAGATACGCAAACCGAGCTAACGGAAACAGAAATATGGCAAGCGAGAGGGTTAGTTACCAGAGAAGAGAAGAGACGCGTGCTTCTGTTCCGTCGCTCCTCCGCTCCTCCTCGCCCTCCTCTTCTCCTCTGGACAAACCAGGCAAAGAGAACGGGACAAACAGAACAAGGGAACCAGAATCAGGTCAAGCCGTTTCAAGGCAAACAGATTTCAGAAAAGAGAGTCAAGGCAGGAAGATACGCAAACCGAGCTCAATGGAAATGGAAGCATGGCAAGCGAAGAGGGTTACCAGAGAAGAGAAGAGACGAGTGCTTCTGTTTTGCCGCTCCTCCGCTCCTCCTCGCCCTCCTCTTCTCCTCTGGACAAACCAGGCAAAGAGAACGGGACAAACAGAACAAGGGAACCAGAATCAGGTCAAGCCGTTTCAAGGCAAACAGATTTCAGAAAAGAGAGTCAAGGCAGGAAGATACGCAAACCGAGCTCAATGGAAATGGAAGCATGGCAAGCGAAGAGGGTTACCAGAGAAGAGAAGAGACGAGTGCTTCTGTTTTGCCGCTCCTCCGCTCCTCCTCGCCCTCCTCTTCTCCTCTGGACAAACCAGGCAAAGAGAACGGGACAAACAGAACAAGGGAACCAGAATCAGGTCAAGCCGTTTCAAGGCAAACAGATTTCAAAAAAGAGAGTCAAGGCAGGATGATACGCAAAACCGACCTCAAGGGAAATGGAAGCATGGCAAGCGAAGAGGGTTACCAGAGAAGAGAAGAGACGAGTGCTTCTGTTCCGCCGCTCCTCCACTTCTCCTCGCCCTCCTCTTCTCCTCTGGACAAACCAGGCAAAGAGAACGGGACAAACAGAACAAGGGAAACAGAAACAGGTCAAGCCATTTCAAAGCAGACAGATTTCATAAAAGAGAGTCAAGGCAGGATGATACGCAAACCGAGCTCAAGGGAAATGGAAGTATGGCAAGCGAAGAGGGTTACCAGAGAAGAGAAGAGACGAGTGCTTCTGTTCCGCCGCTCCTCCGCTCCTCCTCGCCCTCCTCTTCTCCTCTGGACAAACCAAACAAAGAGAACGGGACAAACAGAACAAGGGAACCAGAATCAGGTCAAGCCGTTTCAAGGCAAACAGATTTCAGAAATGAGAGTCAAGGCAGGAAGATACGCAAACCGAGCTCAAGGGAAATGGAAGCATGGCAAGCGAAGAGGGTTACCAGAGAAGAGAAGAGACGAGTGCTTCTGTTCCGCCGCTCCTCCACTCCTCGCCCTCCTCTACTCCTCTGGACAAACCAGGCAAAGAGAACGGGACAAACAGAACAAGGGAAACGGAATCAGGGCAAACCGTTTCAAGGCAAACAAATTTCAGAAAAGAGAGTCAAGGCAGGAAGATATGCAAACTGAGCTCAAGGGAAATGGAAGCATGGCAAGCGAAGAGGGTTACCAGAGAAGAGAAGAGACGAGTGCTTCTGTTCCGCCGCTCCTCCGCTCCTCCTCGCCCTCCTCTTCTCCTCTGGACAAACCAGGCAAAGAGAACGGGACAAACAGAACAAGGGAACCAGAATTAGGTCAAGCCGTTTCAAGGCAAACAGATTTCAGAAAAGTGAGTCAAGGCAGGAAGATACGCAAACCGAGCTCAAGGGAAATGGAAGCATGGCAAGCGAAGAGGGTTACCAGAGAAGAGAAGAGACGAGTGCTTCTGTTCCGCCGCTCCTCCGCTCCTCCTCGCCCTCCTCTTCTCCTCTGGACAAACCAGGCAAAGAGAACGGGACAAACAGAACAAGGGAACCAGAATCAGGTCAAGCCGTTTCAAGGCAAACAGATTCGAGAAAAGAGAGTCAAGGCAGGAAGGTACGCAAACCGAGCTCAAGGGAAATGGAAGCATGGCAAGCGAAGAGGGTTACCAGAGAAGAGAAGAGACGAGTGCTTCTGTTCCGCCGCTCCTCCGCTCCTCCTCGCCCTCCTCTTCTCCTCTGGACAAACCAGGCAAAGAGAACGGGACAGGCAGAACAAGGGAACCAGAATCAGGTCAAGCCGTTTCAAGGCAAGCAGAATTTAGAAAAGAGAGTCAAGGCAGGATGATAAGCAAACCGAGCTCAAGGGAAATGGAAGCATGGCAAGCGAAGAGGGTTACCAGAGAAGAGAAGAGACGAGTGCTTCTGTTCCGCCGCTCCTCCGCTCCTCCTCGCCCTCCTCTTCTCCTCTGGACAAACAAGGGAAAGAGAACGGGACGGACAGAACAAGGGAAACAGAATCAGGGCAAGCCATCCAAGGGAAAACAGAATTCAGAAAAGAGAGACAAGGCAGGAAGATACGCAAACCGAGCTAACGGAAACAGAGCGAGAGGGTTACCAGAGAAGAGAAGAACCGAGTGCTTCTGGTTTGCCGCTCCTCCTCTCCTCCTCGCCCTCCTCTTCTCCTCTGGACAAACCAGGCAAAGAGAACGGGACAAACAGAACAAGGGAAACAGAATCAGGGCAAGCCATCTAAGGGCAAACAGAATTCAGAAAAGAGAGACAAGCAGGAAGATACGCAAACCGAGCTAACGGAAACAGAAATATGGCAAGCGAGAGGGTTAGTTACCAGAGAAGAGAAGAGACGCGTGCTTCTGTTCCGTCGCTCCTCCGCTCCTCCTCGCCCTCCTCTTCTCCTCTGGACAAACCAAACAAAGAGAACGGGACAAACAGAACAAGTGAAAACGAATCAGGTCAAGCCGTTTCAAGGAAAGCAGAATTCAGAAAAGAGAGTCAAGGTAGGAAGATACGCAAACCGAGCTCAAGGGAAATGGAAGCATGGCAAGCGAAGAGGGTTACCAGAGAAGAGAAGAGACGAGTGCTTCTGTTCCGCCGCTCCTCCGCTCCTCCTCGCCCTCCTCTTCTCCTCTGGACAAACCAGGCAAAGAGAACAGGACAGACAGAACAAGGGAACCAGAATCAGGTCAAGCCGTTTCAAGGCAAACAGAATTTAGAAAAGAGAGTCAAGGCAGGAAGATACGCAAACCGAGCTCAAGGGAAATGGAAGCATGGCAAGCGAAGAGGGTTACCAGAGAAGAGAAGAGACGAGTGCTTCTGTTCCGCCGCTCCTCCGCTCCTCCTCGCCCTCCTCTTCTCCTCTGGACAAACCAGGCAAAGAGAACGGGACAAACAGAACAAGGGAAACGGAATCAGGGCAAGCCGTTTCAAGGCAAACAGATTTCAGAAAAGAGGGTCAAGGCAGGAAGATACGCAAAACAAGCTCACGGAAACAGAAGTATGGCAAGCGAAGAGGGTTACCAGAGAAGAGAAGAGACGCGTGCTTCTGTTCCGCCGCTCCTCCTCCCCTCCTCGCCCTCCTCTTCTCCTCTGGACAAACCAGGCAAAGAGAACGGGACAAACAGAACAAGGGAACCAGAATCAGGTCAAGCCGTTTCAAGGCAAACAGAATCTAGAAAAGAGAGTCAAGGCAGGAAGATACGCAAACCGAGCTCACGGGAAATGGAATTATGGCAAGCGAAGAGGGTTACTTACCAGAGAAGAGAAGAGACGCGTGCTTCTGTTCCGCCGCTCCTCCGCTCCTCCTCGCCCTCCTCTTCTCCTCTGGACAAACCAGGCAAAGAGAACGGGACAGACAGAAAAAGGGAAACAGAATCAGGGCAAGCCATCTAAGGCCAAACAGAATTCAGAAAAGAGAGACAAGGCAGGAAGATATCAGACATGGCTGTAACGATTCAATGCATACATAAACAATGCAACAAAAATCAAGTCGAGAAAAGAGGCTTACAAGAGAAGAGCAGAAGCGGCTGCTCCTGTTCCTCCTCTGCTGCTCCGCTCCGATCCTGCCACTCCTCCCGGGCTAAGCAAAACCAGACGACATTAGCACGGAAAAATCAAAGATGCAAAAAAACTGGAAACGAAACTTACCAATGAATCTTGAGCACAGTCGGTGATGGTGTTGACTCGCCTCCAAGCTGCTGCTTTGCCCTCCTTGCTGCCACACCACACCACACCACACCACACCACTCCACACCAAACCAGAGACGTACATGTCGATGCCGCTGTAGACTTACATGTCGATGGCGCTGCAGACTTGCATGTCGATGGCGCTGTAGACTTGCATGTCGATGGCGCTGTAGACTCCCTGTCAATGACTCACATGTTGATGACGCTGTAGACTCCCCGTGCGCCTCCTCGACGGTGGGAAGCTGAGGGGTTGAGGACGGAGTGCAGGTCAGGTTGGGCGTCAAAGCTGGAAGAGGAGGAGCGTGGAGGGCAGTGCTGAAGAATGAGGAGGTGGAGCAGCGATGGGCGGGGCCGCCGTGAGGACTTACGAGAGGGGGCCCCACCCTCTCCGCCTCACATTCCCACCGCTACTCACATTCCCGCAGCATCCCAGTCATGCATCCTCTCGTCCAACCCATCAACCACTCCCTCACGTTCCTCCGCCTCACCCCTTGCTGGACGTGTTGCCTCCTCGTCTCAAGTGCCGCCGCCTTGCCACCTCGTCCCCTCACCTGAAGTGCCGCCTGGTTGCCTCCTCCTCCTTTCCCCAAAAGTCGCATGCTTACCTCCTTGCTCCAAGTGTCCTCCTTGCCTTGAGCCCCAAGAGTCGCATGCTTACCTCCTTGCCCCACGTGTCCTCCTTGCCTTGAGCGGGTGGTCAGCAGGGCGAGTAGGAGGCAGCCACACGCCAGTGGCTGCCGGCCGTGCGTCATCCCACCACGCTCGCCCATCCTCCTTGCTCCACCACACAACACGAAACCAGACCAAACCAGACCACACAAGACCACACGTTACCACACAGCACTACACCTGCTCCTCTGCAGGCGCCTCAGTCTTGAGTGAAGAAGCCATGTTGAGGGAAAAAGCCATCTTGAGTGAAGTGCTGCCTCTCCTTGCCTCCTCACCTCAAGTGCCACAGAACACTACACACCTCTGCTGAAGTGCCATCTCCTTGCCTCCTCACACACTACACACCTCTGCTAAAGTGCCGCCACCTTGCCTCCGCGCCGGCTCGTTGCCCGAACTGTCCGCCTCCTCCTCATGCCCCACCATACCATTCCATACCTCACTACACCTCTGCTGAAGTGCCGCCACCTTGCCTCCGCGCCGGCTCGTTGCCCGAAATGTCTGCCTCCTCCTCATGCCGCACCATACCATTCCACACCGCACTACACCTCTGCTGAAGTGCTGCCGCCTTGTCTCCGAGCCATCTTGCCCGGAGAGCCCGCCTCGAACAGAGCGGGTGGTCAGCAGGGCGGGTAGGAGGCAGCCGTGTGGCTGCCGGCCGTGCGTCATCCCACCGCTCGCTTCTCCGTCCCTCTGCTGCCGTCCTCTCGAGTCGCTGCTGCTGTTCTCTGCAGGCTCCTCTGCTCCTCCCGAGTGAAGAACCCATGGTTGCTGAAAAACAGGGGGATGGAACACAAAGACAGATGCTCAAAGTCAGTAAGCAGAACTGCGAAATGGAAAAGAAAGTAAAACAAATTCAAGGAAACGAAATCCAAAATCGAAAGCGGAAACGAAGTGCAAATATTGTGCGCGGAGAACAACACGAGGAAACGAGGTGAGGTGGTGGGATGGATGCACGTCCATGATACGCCGGCTGCAGCTAGCAGAGGGAGGAGCTATGCTACCCAACCCAAAATCTATGCTACCCAAAACCACGGAGGATCATCTACTAGGCTGCAGCCGAACGTATCAGAGGGACGTGCATAAACGCGAAGAACGATGGAGTGAAGAACGAGGTGCGGAAAACGAATGACGAAACGAAACGAATGACGAGAAGGGAAGGCGAGGGGAAAGGCACTTCCCAGTTGCTTTGCTGGCCACGAGATGCAGTGTTGCCTTGCTGCTCCACGAGCGGTGGTCAGCAGGGCGGGTAGAGGCAGCCCCACGCCAGTGGTCATCCCACCGCGCCCGTCCACCTCAGCAAAAAGCCCGTCCACCTCAGCAGTGCAAGGATCAGCCAGCAGCACTCCAGCAGCGCCAGGATCAGCCAGCAGCACTCCAGCAGCGCCAGGATCAGCCAGCAGCACTCCAGCAGCGCCAGGATCAGCCAGCAGCACTCCAGCAGCGCCAGGATCAGCCAGCAGCACTCCAGCAGCGCCAGGATCAGCCAGCAGCACTCCAGCAGCGCCAGGATCAGCCAGCAGCACTCCAGCAGCGCCAGGATCAGCCAGCAGCACTCCAGCAGCGCCAGGATCAGCCAGGATTAGCGGCAGACCAGGAACCGTTCCCTGCACGAACCAGGACAGACAGAGCAGATCGCAGCGCAACGGAAACAACTCTGAAATGGTCAGGCGGAACGGAAACGAATCTGAAATGAGAACTGAAATGTCCTGATAGCAACGGAAAATAAATTGAAATAGCAACTGGAGAAAGATACAGCCAGGAAACGTTTAATTTAGAGATTGGGCGTTGGATGAAATCTCACCACCAGCATTAGATGAAAAGCGCTCGAACGTCGACGTGTCCGCAAGCTCCGCCATTCAGCGATGCGAACTCCGCCATTCAGCGATGCGATCTCCTCCGTTAGCGGCAGACCAGGAACCAACTCCTGCAAGGACCAGGACAGACAGAGCAGATCGCAGCGCGTGAGAATTGCTAGCTACGGAACTGAAATGTCCAAATAGAAGCAACGGAAACGAATCTGAAATAAGAGATTGGTAACTGGATGAATAAGAGTGAGTACTCACCCAGTGTGCCTATGACTCCCGTTGACTGGAATTGCTCAGCCCATCCGTTCAACTTGCATCCGTCCAGTGTACTCCAATCCGCATGATCGTCAGATACGCGCACTTCAATCCGCATGATCCGCGCACTTCAATCCGCATGATCCGTGCACTTCAATCCGCATGATCTGCGCACTTCAATCCGCATGATCCGTGCACTTCAATCCGCATGATCCGCGCACTTCAATCCGCATGATCCGCGCACTTCAATCCGCATGATCCGCGCCCGAACCCGTCCGAATCCGCGACTCTCCTGCTTAAAACAGGCAAAACCGCGACAAGAGAGACGGAATGAGAAGCAAACCACACTTAAATGCGTAGAGAAGAAACCGTTTGCTAAGAGCAAGCATGTAAGAAAGGAATACGGCGTTTGTAGAAAGAGATTTAGGGGGTCGTCGACGTTTGTACCTCCGCCGTTGACGGTCAGTGAATGTCCTCCGTGAAGCGAATGTCATTGAATGTCGTCGTTACAGCTCCTCCGTGATGATTTATGCCCACCAGCGCTGACGCTGCTGAGCTGATAACAGATCCGCCGTCATCAGATCCGGCACCGGATTCAGATTCGCGAACCGTCAGATTCGGCACCAGATTTAGCTTCGCGAACCGTCAGATCCGGCACCATATTCTGCTTCGCGAACCGTCATATTTAGCCACCAGATTCTGCTTCGCGAACCGTCATAACTGGCCTCAACCGTCATAGCTGGCCACCAGATTCGGCCGCAAGCGTCGCCTTTTGAGTCGACGAAAAAAAAGGCCGTCGAAATCTTCGACGAAGAAAAATGGCCGTCGACAGCTTCGACCTTCGCCGCTGTTGAACAGGCTTCGCAGTTGACTGGAGCGTCTCAAAGGTCGGCTTCGTCCAGCTCATGCATCAACAGGTCGTCGCACAGTCGCATCTGCCGTCACGTCGCCGACTGCGTTGAGCGATTCTTGCAGACCGCGTGGAATGACTATAGGACGAAGCTTACTGAATTTGAACGACCGCTGAAGGTAGAAATATCAGGTCGCGAGCTGAAGACGAACAGCGAATGTGAAGTTGAAACGGGAGCTCATGATTCGATGAAACGGAAACGATAAAACGGGAGCTCATGAGTCCGATTCGAAGTTACATCTGCTGCTAACGACCGACCGCCATAACTCTGAGAGTTGAGAGATGCAAATTCGGAACTTTAGCCAAGCTATAGGTTTAACAGTTTTAAAAATCTGACTACCAACAACGAGAGCGCGAATAAGGCTGTAGACATAGCAAAGGAAGCCATGGATTCTGAGAAGCCGAGTTACCAAGACTACTACGTGTCACACCAGGTAAAACGTTGCCTTGGGAATATCGAGATTCGTGAACGACACTGTTCAGGAAGTGAAGAGCACCTAACAGGAAGTGAGAAGTGGATGGAAGGGAAGGGAGGCTGGGAGGGTTGTGAGCGGTGAAAAGCGTTTGGGAGGAAAAGAGAAGGGTGCTGGGGTTTTTTGATAGGGAGCTGGCGAATGGGAAGCGAAGAGTGCGACAAGAGGGGTCGCCGTGCGAAGCCACCGCAAGCCGAGGGGAGGAGTTGGCTCCTATCCCGGTCCCTGCAAGGAGGGGCAAGCCGCTGGGAGGTTCTTGGACAGGTTCCGCTGACAGGCGGGGAGCGGGAGAAATTCGGCCAATGAAAAGTGAGGGAAGGCGGGAACAGTGTTGCGCTGAAACGCGCGTCGTCGGAAACAGTGCTCCGCCGACGCGCGCAGTATCGGCAGTTCGCGGGAAAGAGTCGCCATGTGCGAAACATTCAGGAATGAAGGTGAATGTTACATTGTCATGACCAGAGGGTGTATGGCATGGTGTGGATGGTATGGTCAATAGCTAGCACCAATCCCCAGATGACACAAATGGCAAGGCACGAGCCGCGGTCAACGTTTCTGCTGGTTAGTGTCAGACCATGGTTTTGAAATATGTCGTGTGCTCGTCAACCATTCTGGCGGGAATGCGACATACATCCCCGTTTTGATTGTCCGTCGAGAATGTCGCATTAGGGTGAAAACACTGTATTGTTTGCAGTTTTGAAAGAGTATGAAAGCCCGAAACAGCATGCTGCTAAAAGAATAGTCATTTCACACCTATATACATCTCTTTGATGTGTGTTGGCATCAAGGAATATAACGACGACTCAATGACTGCTCTGCATGAAGTTACAACTCGAAGTTTCACTGGGGGAGCAAGGCAATAGTTCTTGAAGCTCAGAAGCATTTGATTAGATGACAAGAATATACAGTACTCTAGATCGGTGCCGCCGAGCACTGTAGCCACTGCCAGAATGAGCTCTACTGGCGTGTATGAACAGCTTATTGCAGATGCAAATGCAGTGGGGCCCAGACATGTGGAGGGGCTGTCTACCATTTTAAACTAAAAAAGGCTTCTACGAAACGACCGTGCCGTTGTCTGGTAAGTCTTGATTAGAAGACCCACGCCTATACCCACTCCTATGCACATGCCAAGTCCAAGACCCACACCAACCCTCACTCCAGCATTGAACCAGGAAAGCTCGCCATTACCCTCCTCATTTTCAACATAGCCTGCAGGGAGATCGTAGAATCCTGGAAACTGGCTCGGCTGCTTCTCAGAACCATTGTAATTTTCCTGTATGAACAAATCAGGGGCAGTGGAGGAAGAAATTGACAATTGAGAGATGGAAGATTGACGGACTGGCAATTCATACTCTCCAGAACACGGATAACCTACAACACACTGAAAACGGCAGCGGACAAGAAATACAGTACATAACGAGACGGAAAAAGAAGCACTAGTTGGAGGGTAAAAGGCAAGAGGGCGAGACGGGTGCGGGAGGGGGGGTTGGGGTGGGAGGGGGAGTGGGGAAAGGGGGAGGAAAGCCGGGTCACAGATAAAACCAGAAGCAAACCATAATTCAGCCTCTTACCTGAAAAACGACGACTTTCCGCTGATCCTCGTCGAGAGCCATCGCCCTGGCATGCATCCGGTCGGGTTCCTCAACCTCGGGAATTGCGTCCAGACCTGCCTTCCAGTGGTTCTTCCGTCTGGCCGTCAGTTGCACCGTTTCCGTCAGCATGACCGGCAAACCGTCACACCTGCCGACTATGCAGATCTCCAGAGACGGCTGAACTGCGTGATCCGACAGCTCTTGAACCGACTTGACGGCGAACCCGCTCCAGGAGCTGCTGGTGGTGCAGGAGCATTCAAGGGTCCATTGACCTTCCAACGGTAACCCTCGTTCAGGTAACAAAGGTAGGCCTGAAACCGTCTCCTCCAATGTCTGTCTGGGTCGTAGATTGAGCGAGCAGGCGACCAGTTTTTCCCCTTCATGGAAGATATCAAATGAGAGAGTTCTTCGGATTCTTAATCTGTCCGTGCTGACGAATGTCGCTTCGGAACTTTCAGAGTCTGCTCGGTCTTTTCTCAAGGATAACGATACGTCTTCCAACGGACTTCTTCTCGCGCCGTTAACTTCCAATTCTGAGGAGATTTCGCGTGGAGGACAAGAAAAGACGAGGTAATCGGAGCTGCTGTTGATGATGTTTTGAGCAGATATTCTGGCGTAAATGACCTTCACGTCGAGCCATCCTGCTGCTTGACCTGCAATCTGAGACGCCATAACGGCCTCAATTCCTACGAAATTCACGTCCAGCTGCAGAGGAATAATCTTTTGGTACGGCTGCGAGGAGAATTACTAACCCTACTCAATGTAAACGCGAGCTTCCTGATGCAAAAGGAAGCTCCGTTTCCCGTGAAACTGCAGCTCGACGGACATCCAAGGAAATCACAGCAGATGACTGCCGCACTAGAGGCTGATTAGAAACTTGATGGAGGAAGCTGTTTAGTTACTGGGTGAATTATCCAATAGGCGATTCAGTTTCCTAGCAGACAGGTCAAGCAGAGGGGAAGTTGAAGTTTGAGTTCAGCTCAGCCGCAGCACGCCCTTACAGCACACCGCGCGGAAAGCTCCGCCTAAGCGCAATACGCTCCCCCCAAATCGCAGTGGGCTGCCTGCGAATGATATTTCCTCAAACCCCCGTCATCCATTGACAGGTTTGGCTTCACCTTTCCGCTTCAAGAATCAGGAGAGCGCAAACACGTGCGGGGGAACGGCAACCTCTTTTCCGCCCAAGTTCCGCAGACGTCTTGTGATGGTGAAGGAACGTGAAGCAAGAATAGAAGGAGCTTTAGCGATGGATGTCCACTGGTTACCTTACCAACTCGCCCACTATGAGTATAGCTTGTCGTTCGCGAATGCCGCTTTTGCGAGGTCTGGAGTCGAGATCGTTGCGCTTTTGCGAAAACCCTGAGGCTTGGGATATGCAATTCGCGGGAAGGAAGGGGGATTCGCGAAACGTTGCCTTTTTATCGCCCGGAAAACGCCAAGAACAAAAAGTTCCCTCCCGTCACTGCATGGTGTTTGCCGAAGTTGCTTGCCTGCGCCGCGCGTGCATCCAATCGACGTGAGTCAGCTGTGCATGGTGCGTGCGGATGCCCTGATTGGTGACAGCGATTGGCCTCAGGACCACGAACGAGGTACGTTCCGCCTCTCCGGGAAACAATGCCCCCGTGGCGGGCCCAGCTCCGCTGATTGAGCCAGGAAGCTTGGCGCACATCGGGGTGTGGGCCCAAGTGCAACTCAATAACCTTCATACTTGCTCGGTACACTAGAACATTAGTTACACCGCTACAACAATATCAAAATCAGCTTTCTATCTCTATGCGACCTCTTTTCTTTAGATAGACTCATGCACACCCTTCACATGGGCAGACTCCTATCCCCAATCCCAAGGCAGTTCTAGTTCACTGCAACCTATCTGACACTTCTGAAGAAAGACAGCGTAGTTTGCCTGCTGTTTCTCAACCTTGACCTCGTCCTGTCCCCAAACGCGCTCCCAAGAATGCTGCTTGCGAAGTCAGCATCAAGCCCTCCCACAGGCTGAGGCGAATTTACTTGGGCCGTGCTCCTAAGCCCCCGCTGCTGTCCATTCGCACGTGCTGCTGCTCGGCCTCTAGTACCTGCTGATGCTTGCCTTTCCACTTGAAGGCGGCGGCGTGTCCGTCGAGGAGTCCTGGATAAGAGAAGAAACAATCTTCGTTGAGTAATCTCGACGCAGTCTTCAATTGAGTCATCTCGACGCAGAAATCCAAGAAAAGAAGAAAGCCTGAACCCAATATTCTGTTAGCGCATGAGCCCCACGCACCTGGCTCAAGCAGAAACGCCACTGAAACTCACCTTCTCTTCTTAGTGCAAGCGGGGCAGAACCAAGGCTCCTGGCTCGAGGGCATGGCAGGCAGCGGCGGGTCGAGTTGACTTTCGAGACGTCCAAAAACACAACACCACTGGACCTTACCTCCTCCCAGAGCAAGCGGGGCAGAACCAGGGCTCCTGGCTCGAGGGCACGGCGGGGAGGGGTGGTTCGAGGAAGAAGGTGTGGTGTCCTCCCAGGTTGTTACATCCCTAGGCAGTGACATTCCTTCATGAGTGCATTGTGCCTAGAACCCACTCACCTTCTCTCAGAGCAAGCGGGGCAGAACCAGGGCTCCTGGCTTGAGGGCACGGCGGGGAGCGGCGGTTCGAGGCAGAAGGTGTGGTGTGCTCCTAAGTGGTTGCAGCCGTCACACAGAAGTAGCAGATCCTCCATTGCACCCGACTGGCACACACAGCACACCATGGTCTGGAGAAGAGGGAGGGAGGAGGGAAGCAAGAGGAGCGGACAGCGTGATAAGAGGGGAACATTAGAGAGGCAATGGTTGCAGCCATCGCAAAGCAGCAGCACGTCCTCCATGGCACCCGACTGGCACACACAACACACCATGTCTGATGGACAGAGGGGGACGGAGGTGGGGAGATTGTGAGAGGTGCAAAAGTCATCAACAACAATGGAGGACTTGAGATCATATAAACGGGTAGCGCAAGCAGATTCAAGAAAGGAGAGGAAACCAGGAAACAAGAGTTGATAACAAAACGAAGAGAAACGGAAAGAAGGAACACTCATGAAGGCAAGCTTACATCGAGTGGTGACTCATCCGTGGGCGCCCTTCTCTTGCGAGTTGGCACCATCACAATGCGCTCTTCCTCCCCGTCCCCACCATCTTCATCCACAGGTGCAGCACCATCACCAGCAGCAGCAGCAGCAGCAGCAGCAGGGAGACTGGTGCGCTTGGCAGCTGCAGCTGCTTCCCTGCTGGCCCTCTTGTTGCGCACTCTAATGAATTCGAAGGGCTCCTTACAAAGAGGACAGCACGGAATGGCTGTGGCCTGTGAGGGGACGAATCGAGGAACAGGGCCAAATACATGGTGGAAACCGTGCGAGAAAAAAATCGTTATAGACCGAAACGAAAAAAGCAGGTCTGAGGACAAGGAAAAGAGGCCGACAAGACGAGGAAGAGAGGGTGAGGACAGGAATAGCGCTACTCACCGCACTCTCAGCCCACTTGAAGACGCAGGTGTAGCAGAAGGCATGCATGCAGGGCAGCACACCAATTTGCGAGGCTGGAGTGTCCTCCTGGCAGATGGCACACGCACACCCTCCACTGGGACTCTCAGCTCACTCACTGCACTCTCAGCCCACTCACCGCACTCTCAGCCCACTTGAAGACGCAGGTGTAGCAGAAGGCGTGCATGCAGGGCAGCACACCAATCTGCGTGGCCGGAGTGTCCTCCTGGCAGATGGCACACGCACACCCGCCACTGGGACTCGCAAATGCTGCCCTGGGTGGCGTGCGGGCAAGCCCCACTGCCTTCAGGCTCCCATCAAGTACCACCTTGGTGGGTGTGCGAAAGCGTGGCTTTTGATTCTGATTCCCGTCAGGCTCTGCTCTAGGTGGTGTGCGTGCTTTTTGGTTAGCATTAAGTGCTTCCCTGGGGGGTGTGTGAGCAGCACCAGGCAGGCAGGTATCCCTGGGTGGACGGCTTGCGTTTGGGGGTGTGTGGGCAGCAGGCATGCGCGGGGGAGTGTGGCGGTGGGGGGAAAGCGGGTGGGAGGGAGCAGGGGCATGGGTGGTACGGGTGGGGACAGTGGCAGCAGCAGCGGCTGTAGCAGCGGGGACAGAGGAAGGAGCAGCAGGTATGGTGGCAGGAGGATGGGCAGAGAGAGAAGCAGGCGGAACAGCAGAAGGACGAGCAGACGATGGGATGGGATGCGATGCGGTGGCAAGCCGAAAGGGATCGGCAGAGCAAGAGGCAGAGCCAGGCACTCTCCCAGGGAAAACGTGGATTCCTGGTTGACTGGTCTGGTGGCTGCGAGGGTGATTGCTCTGTTGGCTGGGTCGGAGCGGCTGCTGCTGGTTCTGCTTGCTTTTAAGAGAGCGGCCCCCTGGATGACCCCTCATGGGGGAGAGCCGGCTGGCTTGCCTCGAACTGCCGGCCCGCACGGAGGGTCGGGTAGATGAGGGAGGGAAGTAGCTGTGGATGGTGGCTCTGCTTCCTGACGTTGCTGCTCCCCCCACAGCTGCACCTACCCCTGCTACCCCTGCTGCCACACCACCTGCACCACCTGCACCACCTGCTGCTGCATCCGCTTGCCCTGGTACCAACGTTGGCACCTCCCTCATCCGCATCTGCTGCTCCCGAAGGTGCTCGTGCTGTTGCTGCTGCTGGTCCTGCTGCTGTTGACTCACACCCACAGTCCCCTCTCGCAAGAGAGGCAGCTCCGGTATTCTACCCTCTGCTGCCTCTCTCACCGCTCCCACTCCCACCTCTGCTGTTCTCAACGGTCTTCTAGGCTCCACCTTCCTTCCCAGAAACGCCTCCAGCGTCCAAACGGACTTGCCATGTGTCAGCCCGCCACTGGCCCCTTCGTCGCCACGTGCCGGGCTGCCAGGTGGCGCCACGTCATCGGCCAACATGCCAGCTGTCGCTGCGTGACCATGCTTGTTGTGGTCTTGACGCACATCACCTGTATGCGTCCCCCCTACAGCACAGGCGTTTGCATCCCCTTTCTCATCCTCTGCTTCATCACCGCCACCAACCACATTGCATCTACCATAACCATTATGTCCACCACCATTTCCGCTACCATCCCCCCTACCAGATCTACTGGCGTTCCCACCCTCACCACCACCCCCACCACCCTCAGCAGCAGCACCTGCCGCTCTGCTCTGCAGCAGGTCTCTCCTCCACGTTCCCTTGCGCAGCCTCTTCAATCTCTGCTGCCCTCCCCTCTCCCCTGCCCTCTCGCCTTCATCTCCCCCTTGACCCCATGCCTCCTCTTCACCCTCCCCCTCCTGCCCCATCCGCCCCTCACACTCCCCTCCCCTTTCTCGTCCTCCAAAATCCGCTAGCTCAACACTCAATCGGGCATGCGATGTGCTTCGCCCCACTCCTCCCTCTCCTCCCTCACGCACTCTCACGTGTATAGGGCTTCTTCCCCCTTGGCTTCCACACATGCGACTGTCTCTGACCCCGCTTCCCTCACGCGCTCCCACATGTTGGTGTTGGCTTGCACACATGCGACTGTCTCTGACCCCACCAATTCCTCCGGCGAAACATCTCTCCGACTCGCTCCCTGCCATGCCATCCCTCCTCACGGGGTTCTCAGGCACACGCTGTGTAAACTCAATCTCGTCCTCCTCCTCTTCCTCTTCTTCCTCGGCTTCTTCCTCCTCCTCTTTCTCCTTCTCTTCTTCCTCCTCTTCCTCTTTCTCCTCTGCCACAACCTTCCGTTCCTCACATTCTTCATCCTCCCACAAACCTCTCCCACCCTGCTCATCACTCCCCTCACCTCCGCTTTTCATTCGCTTCCCCTTCTGCAAAGCACCACGATCCCTGTCACAATCCCTGTCACTGTCAGTCTCACCCTCACCGTCCGAAAGAACAATCACATCACCAGTGCCTGATCGCTCTTGCTGTGGAAGCACTCCCATCCTGTCTCTCCTGCCTGACCTTCTCCCCACGCCCTCTTCTGCCACTTCCTCTCCCCTCGCAGCAACCACCACCTCTTCCTGCCCCGCATGCTCAAGTCTCACATCCCTTTGTATCACATCCTCACCCTCTTCCCTCACACCCTCCTCAGTCACGTCCGCAAGCCTAAAATCCTCTTGCACCACATCCTCTTCCACTTGGCTCACATCCCTTAGTGTCCCGTCGCCTCTCTGCCTACCCACAAGCAACTCCCCATCTGCTCCCTCCCTTCTCCAAGCCCTTTCAGCCAACTCACCAGTCACCTCCTGCTGCTCTCTCCGCCTATCCACCAGCATACCCCCATCTCCCTCTTCTTCTCTTGGTCTCCAAAGAGACGCCAGCAGCATCCGCGCTTGCTGAAACGAGCTGTCAGATCCCTCATCCTCGTTACAAGCTTCCTCTCCAGGATTCTCAGCAACAGCAGCAACAGATGGCTGGAACATTCGGTTTCCTTCTGCTCCCTCAGAAGCCAGCTGGCCGAGCGTGCAGTCAAGGGGTCTGTTGTGAGAACCCCCCCCAATGTCAGGAGATAATGGGATTTTATCAATGAATATCTCTCCTTCCTCCGCCACACGTCCAGCATCAATTGCATTTCTCCCCCCCCGCTCTGGTTCCCTCCCTCCCGAATCCGTTTCCCTCTCCTCCTGTCCCCCCTTTCTCTCCTCTGCTGTTTTCAACTGAGGACTATCAGGAGCAACCTGGGAGACATCAGGAACAGGCTGCGACGGCAACAGAGAGAGGGGAACAGGAGACCCCAGATGAATTGACGGCCATATGCCGTCTTCCCCCACCCCTTCATACAGGCCTTTCGACGGGGAGGGGGTTTGAGAGGGCGATGGGGAGGCCTTGGGGGAAGGTGGGGGCGGGGATGGGGCAGCTTGATGGGGGGACGAGGGCGCAGGCGGGGGTGTGGACGGGTGGAGAATTTCCACCTCGCGCACTTCTGCTGGCCTTTCAACTGTCGTCACTCCTGCTGCAGCTGCTACTGGTGCTGCTGCTGGTACTGGTGGTGGTGGCGCTGCTGCTGCTGGTACTGGTGGTGGTGGTGGTGGTGCTGATGGTACTGGTGGTGGTGGTGCTGCTGCTGCTGCTGCTGGTGGCGCTGCTGCCTCTGCTGATACTGCTGCTGGTGCCGCTGCCACCGTTGCTGCCCCTGCTGGTGATGCTGCGCCTGATGCTGGTCCAGCAGCCGGCACCGCAGCTGCTCTTACTTGTGCTGCGCCCTGTCTTGTCGTTGCTGTTGCTGTAGCAACGCCATGCCCTCTGAACTCATCGGCTAAAGCTGCTGCTTCAATCCGCGTCACCCCACCACCCTTACCCCCTCCATGCCCCTCTGGCACGTTCTCCTTGCCATCCACTCTCCTCCTCTTAAAGGGCCTGCTCTTAGTGAAGCGCCTCACCATTCCAGCGCCCTCACCTCGCCCAATCAAGTCCTTGCCTCTGTCGTCTGCCGAGCCTGCCTCCGAACCACTGTTTCCCCTCAGCCCGCTGCTTCCCGCACCGCCACCCCGCCCTCTCCCAACATCTTCCAAAACATTTTCTCTTGACACGAGAACCCCGGGATCTGCCTTTAGAATCAGAAGAGGTTTCTCTTCCTCCTGCCTTATCGCTGCCTCAGTCGACACCCCTTCCTCTGCTGCGCCTGACTTGCAGCCACCCACTAAGGGAACAGCTGGCGGTGCCACCAAGGGTGCAGGGAAGAGACATGGAGGCCCCACTGCGTTGCCCCTGCGTGAAGGAAAGAGAGAATGGAGAGGAGGGACGGGCCGGGAAGGAAATGATAGGAAAGGGAAGGGAAGGGAAGGGACGGGAAGGGAAGCGAAAGGAAGGGAAGGGACGGAAAGGTATTTATGCGATAGCATTCACAGAATGAGTGAGGTGTACAGCAAATACAGGTGAATAAAAACGACTCAGCTGCAAAAAGTGAAGTGAAGGGGCTTTACCGACCAAAATCCTCAACTGAAGAGCTCTACCAGGTGCAAACTCAAAAATCACTCTCTGAACACCCCTCTGAACACCCCTCTCAACACCCCTCTGAAACGCGGCAAAAGAAACACATAAGCGACACGGGTATGAGAAGCCAGCTTTTTTTGCTTCCAAGTAATACAACACGTACGGGAGGAGGGTGTAAGGATCTTCAGGAATGCAACGGGAGTAGAGTAAGCAGTCCTCCAGCCACCAGTGGTTAACCACCCAAACTATGCCGCTTTTGAGTCGACTCAAAGGTAGAAAGACAACACACGTACGGGAGGAGGGTGTAAGGAGCTTCAGGAACGCGGTGGGAGTAGAGCAAGCAGTCCTCTAGCCACCGGTGGTTAACCACCCACACCGCGCCCTCGCTGTCTCCCCTGTGCCTCCACTCCATGACCTCGTTAGAGTCACAGTCGCACTGGTTGCCATCAGCATGGCAGCGCATGGCATGGAGGGCTGAGTTGCTGCGGACTGCCAGGTCGTACTTGGGTCCTTCAAACTGGTTGCACACCTGGCAGGCGGGACAGCGGGCGAGCGGGCGGGCAGGCGGGCGGGTGGGCCGGCCGCGGGTGGGCAGGCAGGCAGGCAGGCAAGCAGGCAGGCAGGCAGGCAGGCAGGCAGGCAGGCAGGCAGGCAGGCAGGCAGGCAGGCAGGCAGGCAGGCAGGCAGGCAGGCAGGCAGGCAGGCAGGCGGGCGGGCGGGCGGGCGGGCAGGCAGGCAGGCAGGCAGGCAGGCAGGCAGGCCGGCAGGCCGGCAGGCAGGCAGGCGGACGGGCAGGCAGGCGGGCAGGCAGGCAGGCAGGCAGGCAGGCAGGCAGGCAGGCAGGCAGGCGGGCAGGCAGGCAGGCAGGCAGGCAGGCGGGCGGGCGGGCGGGCGGGCGGGCGGGCGGGCGGGCGGGCGGGCGGGCGGGCGGGCGGGCGGGCGGGCAGGCAGGCAGGCAGGCAGGCAGGCGGGCAGGCAGGCAGGCAGGCATGCAGGCAGGCAGGCAGGCAGGCAGGCAGGCAGGCAGGCAGGCGGGCAGGCAGGCAGGCAGGCAGGCGGGCAGGCAGGCAGGCAGGCAGGCAGGCAGGCAGGCCGGCAGGCAGGCAGGCAGGCAGGCAGGCAGGCGGGCAGGCAGGCAGGCAGGCAGGCAGGCGGGCAGGCAGGCAGGCAGGCAGGCAGGCGGGCAGGCAGGCAGGCAGGCAGGCAGGCAGGCAAGCAGAGTGGTGGAGAAGGATAAGAGATGGAACGTTACAAAGTCCTGTGACATGACATGGCAAGGAGCACATGCTGGCACGGAGCTTGAAACAACGCTCCGAGAGAGAGAGGAGAGACACGTTCTGAGATGTCGTGACTCGACGGTACCTCCCCTTATGTTGGGGAGCGCAACGTACCAGGTGTGTGCTGAGATGTGAAGCGAAGTCGCGCATGAGCTGCGCTCCTAAGGCTTGGATCATGAGCTTCACAGACGAGCGCATGAGTCCTTCATACCCCGTAAGACTCACCACCACCTCCTCCATACCCGCCTCCCGCTTCTCCTCCTCCTCTTCCTCCTCTTCCTCTTCCTCCTCCTCCTGCCACTCGTCTTCCTGCCTTTCCGAATCCAACACAAACCTCCTTGCCCTCCACTTAACCCTCATTCCGCGTTTCCCTCCCACCCCTACTGCGTCCAGACACAACGCATCCCTCATCGCCACCTCCCTCACTCTCTTCACCCCAACGCCCTCCACTCCCATCGCCTGTTCGCTCATCCCAATCTCCTCTCTCCCTCCCGCCCCACCGTGCCTCTCTTCGAGCATGTGAGATTCCTCTCTCTGGTCACCCTCGCGCTCATCACCGCTCATCCTCCCATCCTCTCGCATGTGATCCCGCACTGTATCAGTGACTCTTCTATCCTCCTCGCTCCCATCTCTTTCCTCCTCCTCCCCTGCCAACCTCCCACCCTCCCTCGTCTTCTCCTTACTAGCATTGCTGCTTCTATCGTCTCCCCTTGTGACCTCCTCTCCCCCATCTGCTGCTCCTCCCGCTAATACTTCTCCCCCTACCTCTCTTCTGGCAGCACAATGTGTCTTCTTGGACTCGCTACTGCCACAGCCAGGTATTATCACACTGACAAGGCACTTAGGGCTTGCAGCAAGGAAAAATTGGTCACCGTGTGACAGGCAGACAGACTCGCCTTTAGCCAACACCAACACTGATGAGGAATTCCTTCTGGCCCTTCCAGCAGGTGCTAGTGGAATCTCCCCTGGCTCTCCCTGTCTCGGTCCTGATACCGCTCCGGCTGCTTCAACTGCTCCTAAGTCTCCTGCCGTTCCTGCTACACCTGCTGCGGTTTCCGTAGCTCTAGGCAAAAAAGAGTCCGGCCTGCTGCATTTCTTGAAACGAATGCCGTTGATCCCGAGGCACGTCATCCTCGCCGTCAGATTAGGAGATTCCGTCTCAGCAGAGTTTCCAGGTGAAGCTACCGCAGCTGCAGCAGCAGTGCAGTCATCGCCACGGGTGGGAAGGTGGTCTACATCTGGACGAGAAATGCGGATCTCCGCTTGCCTCCGGCTGCAGCAGACAGACAATTTCGGATCTAAAGGAAACGTTGCTCGACCTAATATCGTGACCGCGTCGCGTATTTCCTGCCAGAGAACCCGAGGGGTTTGGAGGGGGTGAGATTAGCATACATGAGATTCTCTCGTTGGACGATAGCGATTACAATAGCGGCGAATAAGGCAGGCTTGAATCAAAACAGCGGAATTATTCCGAAAAAAACTGAACTAACCTTGCGCACGTCATTGGCAAAATTTAGGATGAGGTAAGGAGGACGTTGTGTCGTAAGGGCCGCCATAGCATAAATCAACGTGAGGGGAGCACTGCTAGGAGAGAATAATTAATGAACGAATAGTGGCTACTGGACTTCTGAAAGAAAAGCTAACCGAAGAATAACTTGATGTTCATTCTGCATTATTTCGCGGGACCATCTAACCCGACAGATGCTGGGAGTGGGCTAACTATGTCTATAATAGCGTCAGATGTGCGAGAGGAAAATCGATCGTGCCGTCACCGTCACTCTCACGCTACAGGCAAATGCTCTGAACTTTCAATTCGGTTTCTGCGGGTTCTGTTCGGTCATATGTGTTTTACAACGGTAAGCTGGTAGAAAAGTATATGCGTGACCCCACCGAACTGCAGTTGGCCTGAGAACGCGCTGATGGTGAATTGCGATCACGTTTTGCCCGAGCGGGATGGGGTCATCCACAGATCCATACAACACCCAGCTCATGTGTTGCTGGGTATGGTCAGATCGAGCAGAACCTGACGCAAGGGCGAACGCTTCCGCGCGCCAGAATCTGCGCGCGCGGAAAATGGAGGGGTTTGGTGGAGCAGCCAATCGTCAGCTCGAAGTTCCACCCTCAGCATTCGGAGAAACATCGTCACCGCCGATTTTCTCCGTCATGGCCTCCGAAACGTCCGATACTGATACAGCATAGAACCTCGATGGCAGCGGAAGATCTTCCCGAACTTGAAAAGGGTTGCGCGAAGGTTGACGAGGAAAGAATTCGCCAGAGGCAGATGGGGAAGCCAGACTGGTGCACAGTGTATCTCAGCTTTGGCTTGGCTCTTTCCTCGGCTATTGTTACGAGTTGTGAAAGAAGAGAGTGCGCAGAACTCAATAATGCGGAAGTGATTACAACGTCTGCATGAACAACGAGGCCTAGGCACAATATAGCAAGTCCTAGCTAGGCCGAGGTCGCGGGGTCGCGAGATGGTTGGGTGCAGGTTCGGGGTTGGAAAACCCGAAGGCGACGCGGTGGTGGCTCGGAAGGCGAGGTCGGCGGACCGAGCCTGGTTTTCCGAAAGTCGGGGTTGTACGCGTACGGAGTGACCCAGTAAGGAATCCGAAAAATTCCTTACACTACCCCCCCCTTAAGAAAGGTGGTGAATATCCGAGACACCTCGGCAGGCCAGGTAAGCATCCACAACCGGATGTCCCAGTAGCGAGTCCGCGTTGACGTACGTGTCGTCCTCGCTCGTGCGTTCTTTCCAGCGAAGCAGGAACTTGACCGAGCGGCCGGCGGCGGTCACCTCCACACGATGGTTGAGAATCTTCCAAGGTTCCAGCGTGGGCTCTGCCACAGGGCGTGTGGTCGGCGCGAGGGATGGCCGAGCAACAGCTGGCGACTGCGGCTGTTCGTAATGACGCAGTAGGCTGACGTGGAATGCGTCATGGATTTTCCAGTCATCGGGTAGCAGCAGCTTCGCGGTGACAGGTGTCACCATCTGGATGATACGAAAGGGTCCCACGTATCGGGGCCGTAATTTCGCGGGCTGCGGCAGCCGGAGATTCTTGGTGTCGAGTAGCACAACCTGCCCTGCACGGAAAGGTAAGTTTCGTCGATGCTTGTCCGCCTGGTGGCTGGCTGTGGTATTAGCCCGTCGAATAAAATCAGCTGCTTTCGTGCGGGCGGTCTGCAGCTCCGTAACGAATTGTTGTGATCGTGGTACCGGGTTGTCCACAGTCGTTGAAGAGGGTACCACGGGGTCTATCCCGTAATTTAGGAAGAACGGTGACTGTCGAGTCGTGGCCGAAGGGGCGTTGTTGTACGCAAATTCCAGCATCGGCAGCGAATCCTCCCACTTGCGGATGTCGGGGCAGTTGGTGCGAATCAGTTGCTCCATGGTCTGATTTGTCCGTTCCGTCTGTCCGTCGGTTTGCGGGTGGTATGACGACGAAAACTGCAGGCGGGTACCGTACTGTGCCCACGTCTCCTGCCAGAACTTCGACGTGAACTTCGGATCACGATCGCTGATGATCGCCGAAGGTAACCCGTGTAAGCGTACGACGGTGGAGATGAACAGTTTAGCTGTATCTTCGGCTGTGATCGTCGTGCGGCATGGGGCGAAATGCGCCATTTTCGTTAGGCGATCGACGACGACCATTACCGAGTCGTTGCCACTTGCGCCAGCTGGTAGCCCCGTGACGAAATCCATCGTCACCTGTTGCCACGGTCGTTCGGGTGGCTCGAGGGGTTGCAGTAGTCCGGCTGGCCTTTGTCGCGACGACTTCATTGCTTGGCAGGTCGGGCAGGTTGACACGTAGCGCTGCACATCGGTTAACATGTCCGGCCAGTAATAATTCCGCTGCAGCAGCTTCAGTGTTTTGTCGGTGCCGAAGTGCCCGGAAAGGTTGGAGTCGTGAACCTCCTGCGTCAGCAGCTCCCGTAAAGGCTGGTATGCTGGTACCCAAATCCGGTTAGTACCGGCTTTTAGGTAGTACTTGCCGTGCGGTGTAGCAGCCTGTTGTTGCGGGTTCCGAAAAAACCTGTCGATCTTGTAGCCGTGGGTGAATAGTCCCGTCAGCATCGGGTTGGTGTGGGCGATTAGCACCGCCGCGTTTTGCATGGATGGTCGGGTGAGGGCGTCGGCGATGTTGTTGGCGCCCTTTTTGTACGTGATGTTGTACCGAAAGTTGGACTCAAGAAAGTCCAGCCACCGGATTTGTCGCGGGTTGAGTGTCGGTTGCGTGCGCATGTACTGTAGCGATTTGTGGTCGGTTCGAATAGTCACGTCGGCTCCCGTGAGGTAGCAGCGCCAGACGCGGAATGCATGGACGATGGCCAGCATCTCCTTGTCGTGGACTGGGTAGTTGCGCTCGGGTGGGTGCATCTTGCGTGATTCGTAGGCGATGGGTTGCAGCCCTTTGCCGAAGTCCTGTAGCAGGACGGCGCCGACGGCGAAATCGCTGGCGTCCGTGACGACTTCGAACGGTCGAGATGGGTCGGCGAGGCGGAGTACCGGGGGTGACTTCAAAATGTTTTTGAGGGCGTCGAAGGCGGACTGCTCCCTCTCCCCCCACCGAAAATCACTGTCGTGGTGCAGCAGGTCGGTCAGCGGCTTGGTTATCCCTGCCATATTAGGTACAAAACGACGAACGTAGTTAACAAATCCCAAAAAACTTTGCAACTCAGGGATATTAGTAGGCGGCTTCCACTTAGCGATGGCGTCCACCTTACGCGGGTCGATTTTAATCCCTTCGCCAGAAACCACGTGCCCCAAAAACTCTAATTCCGGCTTTAGGAACTCGCACTTAGACCCCTTCGTAATCAGCCGATGCCCCTGTAAACGCCGGAACACCTCCTCTAAATCCCGCAGATGGTCCTCTTTTGTCGCGCTGTACACCAGAATGTCGTCCAAGTACACGATGACTTTTTTGTCCAGCATGTCCCGAAAAATCCCGTTCATGGTGAGCTGGAACGTCGAGGGCGCGTTTGTCAGACCGAACGGCATCACTGTGAACTCATAACTGCCGTAACGTGTGCGAAAAGCGGTCTTCGGGCAGTCGTCGGCGAACACGCGAATTTGGTGGTAGCCTCCTCGCAAGTCGATCTTCGAAAAATACCGAGCTCCGCGAAGTTGATCCAGCAGATCGTCGGTTCGCGGGATCGGGTAACGCGATTTTATCGTGACCCGATTCAGCGCCCGATAATCAATACACATTCTTAGGCCCCCGTCCTTCTTCGGCGTGAACAGTATCGGCGCTGCATACGGCGACGTGCTTGGCCGGATGAAGCCCTTGGCGAGCAGATAATCCAGCTGTGCCCGCAACTCGGCGAGCTCTGGTTGGCTGAGCCGCCACTGTGACCGTACAGTAGGTTGCGCTCCCGGCTCCAGCTGGATCCGATGATCCTCAGGTCGTTGGGGGGGCAAGCCATCCGGGAGGTCATCTCCGAAAATTTCGGGATACTTCCGAATGATGCTCGCCAATTCCTCGGGGACTGCTGCGCAGAGGGTGTCGATGTCCGCGATTTTCTCGGAAGCTGCCACCTCGTACAGGTGCACCAAGAAGGTCTGAGCTCCGCTGTTCATCGCACGCTGCATGTTGACCGCGTTGACACGTGTCGTCACCGGCTCCGGCTCCGTCCATTTCGGAAGCGTCGTCTTCCCTCCGTATCCTCGCACGACGCACGCCCCAGTCGTCCAGTCGATCGTCGGATTGAATCGCTGTAGCCAATCCCTCCCCAGCAGCACATCGCAGCCGTCCAATGTCGTCGCCAACATTTTCATGCCAAACCCGAAATTGTCGCCGCACTTTATCCGAATGTGTCGCGCCTCATCTCGGATGGCCAGCGGTGTCCCATCCACCAGCCTTGCATCGATCTCCGGCAGACACCTGGTCAGCTTCACCCCTATTTTTTTTGCCGTTGCCAGGTTGACGAGACTGTGGCTCGCCCCACCGTCAACGAATATTTTTATTTTATAACCGTTAACCCTCCCCACCACCAGCACAGGGTAGTCCACGTGTTCACCCACGTTATTCGTCCGGTTCTGGTCGATAGCTCTGATCGGTACCACGACCCGGTGTGGATGGTGATTGTCGGGCGACAGGGTCTCGTCAGTAGGTGGCCCTTCTGCTACTGACTCA